CTGGTGCTTTTTGCCCAGCGATCTCCGAAGAGATCACTGGTGCTTTTTGCCCAGCGATCTCCGAAGAGATCACTGGTGCTTTTTGCCCAGCGATCTCCGAAGAGATCACTGGTGCTTTTTGCCCAGCGATCTCCGAAGAGATCACTGGTGCTTTTTGCCCAGCGATCTCCGAAGAGATCACTGGTGCTTTTTGCCCAGCGATCTCCGAAGAGATCACTGGTGCTTTTTGCCCAGCGATCTCCGAAGAGATCACTGGTGCTTTTTGCCCAGCGATCTCCGAAGAGATCACTGGTGCTTTTTGCCCAGCGATCTCCGAAGAGATCACTGGTGCTTTTTGCCCAGCGATCTCCGAAAAGATCACTGGTGCTTTTTGCCCAGCGATCTCCGAAGAGATCAGTGGTGCTTTTGTTGTTGCTGTTGCTGAAGTTGTTGCTGCTGCTGTTGTTGCTGCTGCTGTTGTTGCTGCTGTTGCTGAAGTTGTTGCTGCTGCTGTTGTTGCTGCTGCTGCTGAAGTTGTTGCTGCTGCTGAAGTGTTGTAGCTGCTGCTGAAAAAATGGAACACATTTTTCAAAAATTGAAACAAAGCAAGTCTTGTCCGCAAGTCATCACTCCCCACCCCTCAAAAAAGTTAATCCCCAAAAAGGATTGAAGACCATTTTTGCTGTAAATGGGCAATAGAGAACACTAAATGAAGCATCAAAAATCGATTATTGATTTTTGGGATGAAGTGTCATTTATTCTTAATATTTTGCATTATGCCAAATTGCGCATATTTTTGAATTCTGAAATAAATATTTAAAAGATATAGCGGTTTTAAAACCGATTTGTGGACTTCTAGTCAATTGTTCTATTAAATTTAAACTAAACGATGGAAGCAAAAATGTCAATAAATGGAGTCTCTATACACCGACATTGTTTTAGACCAGGGCTCTCATCGACAAAATGCCACTCAAAAGTATCAAAATCTTGATAAAAAAGTATATAGGGAGAAAATTTCCAAATTTAAAGTATACTCAAAATTAAATTGGAAAATATTTGTTCGTGCTCAAATCTTTTATATTTCTCTCTTAAATGAATCTTTTCTAATAATTTCTTGCTTCCATTGGGCATTTTGTGCATTTCAACGCATGACATGTCAAAATTCGCTGATACAAGAAATAAAGCCCTGACAGTCTTAACCTCAAGCTTTCGTCCATTTTCAGCGCCGCAGGCGAAAATTTTTTGAAATTTGGAGCCCAAGTAGTCAGATTTCTCCCATTTTCAGCGCCGCAGGCGAAAATTTTTTGAAATTTGGAGCCCAAGAAGCCAGATTTCTTTCTTTTTCAGCGCCGCAGGCGAAAATTTTGATAATTTCGAAGGCCCAAGGCTAAAAAAATTCACTTTTTTGCCCAATCCCTTCCCCAATTTCATTTTCAATCCAAAATGTTGATTTTAAAGTATATACTTTCAATAAAGTATAAATTCAATTTCTTAAGTATGGAGGTCGGTTTCAAAGTATAATACTTTCAAATAAAGCACGAATGAGAGCCCTGTTTTAGACGTTTTACAAAGGAGAGTAATGAATTTTTCTTTCTAAAAAATTTAGAAAAAAATTTAGAAAATTTGTTGAAATTTTTAAAACCAAAATTTTCAAAAAAAGAAGCGAAAATTATGTTTAAAAAAATAATTTCACCAATCAGGATTCGAACCTGGGGGAAAAAATCGAAGTCAAGAACGCTACCACTGCACCACCGACGAACACAACGGTAAATAAAAAGAAAATGTTTATATGTAGAGAATAAAACAGTGGGGGATCCTAAAATTTAGGGGGCTTTAAGGCACTCTCCTTTGTTAGAGTCAAATAGACTTCGAGACAGAAATGCTGACCAAATAAACGTCGTTATAAAGATTCCATTGTAAAAATAACAAAAATAATTTAATTTTTTCTTTTTTTTATTCTTTTCTTCCTTCTTCGTCTTCTTTCCTCCTCTTCTTTAAGAAAAAATTTTTTGTTGAAAATTCCACGCAATCCAGCTACATATTTTTGCCTTCTTTTTGAATAAATAAAAATAAATATCCATTAGAGAGAAATTGTGGGCTTAAAAATAAAAATAATAAATTTTCAAATAAAATATTAAAATAGAAAAAGAGAAAAAAATGTGTAGAAAATTAATTTTGCAGGATATGAAAATTTCAAAATTATAGATTGGAATGGATCATTTACTCGGTCTGATCATGATCGAGTTGGGCATTGAATTTTGGCCCGGAAAAGATTCGGTCGGGCCGGTCTGGTAAAAATGAGGCCCGAAAAAATGACTCGAACCCCGACCCTGCAAATAACCCTTAACAAATAAATCCGGATGAAGCCACTAAATTAGAAAGTTTCTTTTCACAAACTAGCTTAAAAACTCTCTCTAAAACAACTTAGCTAAAATTATCAAAAAAATGAATTTTTAAAAGAATTCATTTGAATATTTAAAAATATTCAGCTGTTAATCATTCGTTTTTTTATTTTTAAAAGTATTATAAAGAAAAATATTTCCTTAAAAAAACTATAATTTCTTTGTGCCCAAAAAAGCTTATCTAAAAAATTACTTATTGTAATTTTATCAATCAAGTAGAGGAGAGAGACTATAAAAATTAAAAAATACTTAGATAATCAGTTAGTAGCTACTAAAAAAATTAATTTAAAGGAATGATAAACTACAAAAAAGTAATTATGTATTATCAGGAAGAGGAACATAAACAAATAAATTTTTATATTTTCTTATCTTTTTTTAGCCAATTAAAAATTTATATTTTATTTATTAATTGATCAATGACAAATTCTTTAAATTAATTTTTTTTAATTAAAAAATATTTTTATAAATTAAAAATCAAAAAATTTTTAAGAGATGTTAGCAAGTATTTCTTAAGCTCCAAGTCCAATTATTCTATTCAATTACTCGTCCCAGGCAGACCTGGGCGAAACTCAAAATTTTTTTCTGACGAAACGAAACGAAACAAAATTTTTTAAAAATCGTTTCGTTAACGAAACGAAACGAAACAACCAAAATCTTACGAAACGAAACGAAACAAAACGAAACATTTTAATATTCAAAAAATTTTCAAAACTGCATTTATTTCGAAATTATTCGACCTCAAATACGTTATTAGTCGACTATGACTTATAAATGATTTAGTTATTGGTTTATTTACAACAATTGTGTCCCATAAGCCAGGCCCGTAGCAAGGAAAATTTTCGGGGAAGGGGGGGGGGGTCAATCATTTTCGAAGCCAAATTTTTGGCGACGCTTTTTTTGACCCTATCCCGAAAGAAGGGTCGAATCGTTTTTTTCATTACTTTTTATTAGTTTATAAAAATGGTCATTTTTCCTTAGAATTGATGTATGTTGATGTTTGCCTTAAGGAAAAATGGTGACAGAGGTTAACTTTTTATATTTTTCCTTGTTTTTGTTTGCTGGGCGGACTCGGAGACACAAAACACGGACGGATCAAGACGGACAAAACACAGACGAACACGAACAGACAAAATACAGACGGACCCGGACAGACAAAACATAGACGGACACGGACGGACCCAGACAGACAAAACACGGACGAACTCGGACAGACACGGACAGACAAAACACGGACGAACTCGGACAGACCCGGACAGACAAAACACGGACGAACTCGGACAGACAAAACACGGACGAACTCGGACAGACCCGGACAGACAAAACACGGACGAACTCGGACAGACAAAACACGGACGAACTCGGACAGACAAAACACGGACGAACTCGGACAGACAAAACAAGGACCGACACGAACGGTCGGACATGTGTCCGTTTGTGTTTGGTCCATCCTTGTTTTGTCTGTCTGTGTTCTTCTGTCATTGTCTGTCCTTCTCCATTTTTCCTTAAGGCAAACATCAACATACATCAATTCTAAGGAAAATTGACCATTTTTATAAACTAATAAAAAGTAATGAAAAAAAACGATTCGACCCTTCTTTCGGGATAGGGCCCTTTTTTTTAAATAAAATTGAATATTTTTCAAGTAAAATTTTATTTTAAGCGCCGCAGACGAAAAATTTTAAAATTTTGAAAGGCCGTAGGCCAAAAAATTCACCATCTTGCTCCATTGCCTACCCAAATTGTCTCCATATCTCCATTTCGAGAGGAAGGCGATATAAGCTAGTGCTTCGCCGGAAGTTCCGGTTCCAGTATTTCCGCAACTCGCAATCCGCAATTTTTAAATTATGATGCGAGTCCGGTAATAGAATTTGTCGTCGATTAAGTAATATGTATATGTGGATTAGGGAGTGGAGTATAAACGGATTTGTAGTATATAAGTAATTGCTATCTTCCTTTTTCAGCGCCGCAGGCGAAAATTTTGACAATTTGGGAAAGCCAAGAAGCCGAAATTCTTTTTTTTTCAGCGCCGCAGGCGAAAATTTTTTAAATTTTCAATAAAAGATGGTAAATTTTATAGATTTTGGCCTTAGTTTAGGCTTAAAAAATTGTTTCGTTTCGTTGAAAAATCACAGGTGTTTCGTAACGAAACGAAACGAAACAAATTTAAAAGTGTTTCGTAACGAAACGAGACGAAACAGTAAAAATCATACGAAACATACGAAACAACGAAACGAAACGAAACGTTTCGCCCACGTCTGGTCCCAGGTTTAGAGGGTTGCGTTATTCGCGTTAAATTTTGGCCTTGCGTTACGTTTTTCACGATTGCCTCATGCGCTCACCACTGGTCCCAGTTATAGAGAGTGACGATCAAAAAGCCGCTCTCATAACCTATTCAACCCTTAGATTATCAAAAAAAATTTTTTTCAAAATTAACATAAGGGATGTACAACAAAAAATTTTTTTGAGAAAATTTAAAATATAAAAAAGGATTAATATACAAAAAGCTAACCAAACAAACACACTAAATAATTACAAAAATTGAACAAAAATCACCACTTATAATTTTTAAAAAAATTTTTAATAGATAAAAAGAATTCTAAAAAAATTCTTACTTAAAAAATGGGCCTTTCAACCTTAACAACCTTAAATCGTTTTCATATTTTTGTCCTTATTGGATGGCAAACAACTATATTTTTTGCTTCACAAATGCTTTTTACAATTTTTGCAACATATACCCCTAGATGGAAATGTTTGTCTAATAATACAACAGAATTTAATAGAGATTGTAATTTATATTTAAAATGTCCTTCAGAAGATTTAGAATTTGAACAATCCCCTTTTTTCTCTGCAACAATAGAATTTGATTGGTTTTGTGGTTATGGGGCTTATTATAGAGCTATTTTTGGTCAAGTAAGTTTCTCTTGTAAACAAAACATTTTCAAAAACATCTTAATAAAAACATTTTACAAACTTGATGTTTTGTTCAGATTAAAAATAAACTTTGTTCAAAACCCCCAAAACTTTTCTTAAAAACATGTTTTACAAAATAAACATGTTTTACAAACATTAGACCTGTTCCTTTTCTGCTGATAAAACAAAACATTTTCGTGTTTTGTTCAGATTAAGCATAAACATTGTTTTAAACAAACTTAAACTTAGAAACATAAAAACTTTTTTTAAAAACATGTTTCTAAACAACTTTTACAAAATAAACATGTTTTACACACTTGAAACTTCTAATAAACACAAATACACCGAACATACGAAAAAAACATTTAACAACCATAAACTTTTAAATAAACATGTTTTACAAACTTAAACCTCCTAATAAAAACAACAAAAACATTTTTCACCCCAACAGATTCAATTTATTGGTGTACTTTTTGGAACTTTTTTAATGGCACCCCTATCGGACAGATTTGGTCGAAAACCTGTAGGGCTTACTTGCCTTACTTTTGGTCTTACATTACTTGCAATGACTTCTCTTTCACCTACTGGTTATACACTTTTGGCCATTCGTTTTATTGTAGCTATATTAATGGGTGGAAGTATGGTAGTGATTGCTACTTATACAATGGAAATTATTCCTCCAGAACATCGAATTACTTTAAGAACTTTTTGTAATTGGGTAAGAAAAACTTCAAATATTCCTCATTTATTTCTAGGGTATTTGCCGCCTTTTAATGACAACAATTTGTTTTTATTTCCCAAATTGGAGAACAGCAAGTATTGCTTCAGCTCTTGCTTCAGTTCCAGCTTTAATAATTTTTGCTTTTATAATTCCCGAAAGTCCAACATGGTTACACAGTCAAGGAAAAACTGAAAAAATGCGTAGAAGTGAAAGGTATATTGCTCGCATTGCTGGTATTCCTTTTGAGCCAGTTGAACATGTTGAGATTTGTAGAAAGGAAGTGAAGAAGAGACCGAACATTTTGTATGTTTAATTCCTTGTCTTACAAACTTAAACAAACTTGAACAAACTTTTTTCTTAAAAAATTGAAACTTGAATCGCAAACTTAAAAACATTTTTAAGCACTTAAACAAACTTTTCTTAAAAACATGTTTTACAAAACCTCTCTAACTGCAAACTTAAGCACCTTCAAAACTAAACACTTGTTTTACAAACTCAAACTTATCCTTTATTTAAAACCTGAATCGCAAACTTAAAAACATTTTTAAGCGCAATCTTTCACGATAAAGTATTATTTGGCCGCCTATTAGTACTTTGGATGATGTGGTTTTGTTCTTCACTTTCTTCATATTCAATTGATTTAAACAGTGCCAATTTTTCTGGTGACTTTTTTGCAAATCAATGGATATTATCTTGCCCTATTATTATCTCAAAAATGGTATCTCCTTTTTAAATCCTCTTAAAAATCTCTCCCATTTCCCCCTCTAGTTTTTATTTGTTCTCGATTCGAATTGGCCTTCCTTCTCAAGACGTACACTTCACCATTTTGCTCAATCTGTTGTTTGTATTAGCTTTATTCTTTTAACAATTTTAGTTATTATTGGATATGATGTTTGTTTTATTTATTATTTTTAAATTCAAAAATTTCTAATTTCAAGGGAATTTGGATTTTATTAATAAATTTGTTTGGAACAATCTTTCTCGAATTTACTTGGGATGCTAATGTTTTATGTGCTGTTGAGTCAATGCCCACACAAATGAGAGCATCAGCTTTAGGTTCATGCTCAATGATTGCTAGAGTTGGTGGAATATTTGCACCCTTGGTAAACTTAAAACTTTAATCACAAACTTGAATTACTTACTTAAAAAATAACCATAAATCATACACTTACAAAAGTAAGCTTGGACATACGAAAAAAAACCTGAAGCACAAACTTACAAAAAAAAACTTGAATTACACACTTAAAAAATAACCATAAATCATACACTTACAAAAGTAAACTTGCATACTTAAAAAATAAACCTGAATCACAAACTTAAGAAAATAAACTTAAAATACAAACTTAAAAGAATAAACTTTAAAGTCACCAACTTTAAAAATAAACTTGAATTACAAACTTAAAAAATAAGCACAAATTGCAAACTTATAACTGTAAGAATCTCAACCTCAACTAAAAACTTTTCCCTTACTTAAAGCTCGTTTTCTTCAACGAAAAATGGCGTGCTTCTGCATACTTGACAGTAGCAACTATTGGAAGTTGCAATTTGCTAACCTCCTATATTTGGTTAATTGATACAAAAGGGGTAGATTTAGATGCTGTTAATTTGGGAGTTGATATCTCAGAAAAAGAAAATGATGAAAATGAGAACGAGAAAGGAGAAAATATTAATGGGGATAATGTTAAATTTATACCTAATGAACATGGTTAATTGTAAAACTTAAAAAAACAAAAAATAAACTCTACCAGAAACGAGTTCCCATTTTTAAGTTTAACAATAAATTTGTTGTAGAATTGTAAAACACAAGGTTGCAAAATAAATTGTAAAAACATAAAACAATTGTAATTCATGTTGCAAACAAAATTGTAAATAAAAATTGTAAAACATGTTGAGTAAAAACAAAGTTGTAAACAAACAATTAATTGTAATTCAAGTTGTAAAACAAGTTTGAAGACAAAATAGGATTGTAAAACATGTTGAGATTCCATTTAATTGTAATAATAAAAATTCTAAACATTTTACAATTTAAATATCAATAATAAAAACTTAATATTTTTATTAAAAACATAAAAATTCATTTCATTTTATTTATTTTATTTACACGTAAAAATGAATATAAACCGGGAAATAAAATATTTTTCTAATGGGAAAAAATCAGACTATGAAATTTTATAAATGCAAAATATTAAAGAAAAAAATAAAAAAAGATCAGAAGCAAAGGCAAATAATTTTAAAAAAATCTTTGAAAATTTTGCCTTCTATTCTGATCTATTAAAAAAAATATATAAAATTCTAAAAATAAGTTTGGATACAAAAAAAAATTTATTTTAAAGAATTGAGGAGATAACTAAAAAAAATTTTTTAAAGAGAAGGAAACGAGGAAAAGAATATTTAATTAAATTAATTTATTTTATAATTACAATTTCAAGTTCAAACTTAAACTTGAAAAATAATTTATAAGCTCTAAAAACTCAAATTGTAAAATAAACCTTTTCTTTACAATTGTAAAAAAATAAATATAGGTATATATAAAGCTTATTTTTGAACATACAGAAAATGTGTATATATTTAAATTTTATTGTCAGCAGAAATATTAAAAATATAATATACATACAATTGACTTTTGAAAAATCCAAAAATGGAAAAAAATTAATTGAAAAAAAAGAATTTTTGGTCAGAAAAAAATAAGAAATATTTTTTGTAAAAAATATATATGAATATATTTAAGTGATTTAAGTAGAAAAAATTTTTTTTTGGAAAAAAACCGTAAAAATGAGGAGATAGAAAAAGAGGAAAAACTAATTTTCAGAAAATTTCGTAAATATCTAACATGCATAATTTTTATGAGGCTAAATTTATATTTATTTTTAGATGAAAATATTTTTTTAAAAATTCACTTAGGAATTCAAAAAAAAATTTTTCCTCAAATCCCCTAATTTTACCTAATTTTACGCCAAGGCTTTTCCATTGAATGTACCGTGTACTGCTAAATATAGAGCATAGAATCATACTACATAACTAGCCCGCGAAGCGGGCTAGTTATGTAGTTATTTTTTTTAAAAATTCACTTAGGAATTCAAAAAAAAATTTTAATTCATTTAAAAAATTAAAGTAAGACATTTCGTCCCACCCCCTCCCATTTTTTCTCAAAATCCTATTTTAAAATACACCAAAATTCAGAAAAATCAAAAAATTAAAGTGAGACATTTTGTCCCACTCTCCCAACTTTTTTCTCAAATATCCCCTAATTTACTTAAATATTTTCATCTTTATATTATTTTTTTGGGCAGCCAAAAAAGAGATTATTATTAAAAAATAACAACTAAAATTCTATTCACAAAAAATTATTTAAAAAAACTTGTATTTATTTATTGTGCAGAATGTGCAGAACCAGGACGTATTTGTTGTTGAGGATGATGATGCGAATGAGGATGACCAGAACTATAACCATTTAAAAAACTTGATGTTGATGGACTCCGTTGTTGATGTAATTCATCTGGTTGTGGATGTTGGAGTGATGGGGGTCCAATTATGCTTACACCAACTTGTAATTGATTTGCTTTACAAATACATCGACTTTCTCTTTCCTATTAAAAAAGAAAATAGAAAAATTTTTTTTCCAACTAAAAAATAAACCTGTAATAAAAATGTTAAACGTTCCAATTCTCTTCGAAGAACAGAATTTTGAGTCTAAAAAGAAGAAAAAATTTTAAGTTTTGAATGAAAAGTAGAATATTATTGGACAGCAAGGGAGTAGCCAGTCTTCTAGGGCTAAAGCCCCCCTACCCAAATGGGGAAAAGGAAAAATTTTAAAAAACCCCCTAGCGAGTTAAGAATGGGACGAGTTAAGAAAGAAGTCGAACCAGGTTTTCGAAATTAGTTAGGTCGAAAAACGTCCGGGTTTCGAGTAATCCGGTCCATTCCTGATACCCAGGAATGGAAAGAAAAAATTTATCGGAAAAATAGAAAATTTTCCCGAATAAGGGCCCAGGTTCGAAAAAAATTTTTAAAGTAAACCCCCCCCCCCCCCCCCCCCAAAAAAAAAACTCCCCTTTCCCCTAAAAATTTTAAAATAAAAATCTAAAAAAATAAATACTTCAAGCGCATTCTTCTCTTGTTCAATAATATGCACTTTTTCAACAATCTCGTCATGTTCTTCCCTTAAAAAAATTTTTTTCCTTCAAAAATAAAAGAAAAACTAACTTTTTTCTTTTTCTGTAACGTACAGCTGCTGCCTTGTTTCTTTCTAAAATGGTTACACGACGTTCATCTGGCGGCATATCGCTAAAGAAAAAAAAATTTTTTTATAAAAAATTAGGTACACATCAATTGAGTTCCGACTCAACCGAGTCCCAGACCCTATAACTTATGAAGGGATGGTCACTTTTTTATGCTCTTGGTACCAATGGATAGGGCATTAAATAGGCTACAATATACCAAAAAATCAAAATTCTTGCCCGACTGGTAAAAAAGTTATGATCGATAAAGTGCCGAAATATCGGATTTTTTAAAGAAAATTTTAGTCTTTAAATCATAACTTTTTTATCAAACTGTCAAGAATTGTGATCTTTAGGTATATTGTAGCCTATCTAATGCTCTATCCATTGGTACCAAAAACATTAAAAATTATCAATCCATACTTGAGTTATAGAGCTGGGACTCAGTTGAACTGCTCCGAAAAAATAGTAAAAAAATGCCCTTACTTTATTGCAGACCGTCTTCCTCTTCCTCCTCTAGTTGAGCTAACCTGACTATCAGCGCTTTAATAAAAAAAATTTTTTTAATCTTTAAAAAATTTTTATTTAAAAAAACCTGCTTTCTCCACAACTAAATTTTTTATATTTTTTATGTTTTTCTCTTCCATGATAATTATTTTGCATTTGTTGCTGTTGCTGTTGTTGACGTCCAATTTCTTTAATGTTACTCTCATTTTCATTAATATTACAATTATATTCGGAAGGTGAAGATTTTGCTGAATAAGGGCTTTGTTGGGCCTTCAAAAAAAAATTTTTTTTTCCAAAAAAAACTTCCCCCTTACAATAGTAATTTGTGGTGGACAAACAACAAGTGGTTGATGTTGATGATCAGGTGTTGTTATTTTCCATCTTTCTTCATCAGATTTTAACGTGGTTATTGATGAGTGACCAGTTGAAGGTGTTAGCCTGAAAATTTTTCAAAGTTAAAAAACACCAACCAAAAGGTTAGAACTTGTACTTGTTATTATACGAAAAGGACCCCCGACCTCACAATTCGAGTCAACTCCATTTTTCTTGAAAAATGATTTTGGGCCGAGTTAGGCCAGTCAACTTTTCGGTTTTTGGGAGTCGTTGGTAGCTTTTTGATTTTTGGGAACCTTTAGGAACCCATTTTCAAAAAATTCAACTCCCCCCGGCTAAGGGCCTGGTTCTTTGCACCATCCGAGAGAAGTCCCCCGACCTCACATTTCGAAACAACTTCATTTTTCTTGAAAAAATGAAGTTGAACCGAGTTATGGTCAGTCAAATTTTCGGTTAACTCTGGGAACCTTTGGGAGCCCATTTTCAAAAAAATTTCAAAAAATTTCAAAAAAAATTCATTTCACTTACTCAGCCAAATTGCAACTATTAACCAAACGTGTTGTTGATGTCCTCAAATTTATTTCATTTTGTATTGAATTATTTGGGCTATTTTGACGACTAATTCTTTGCTGGTGTAGTTGTCCATAAGAGGAGGTAGTAGAAGATTGAAAAACAGCAGCCAAAGCTTCCCTTGACAAAATTGGGGAATGTTGTTGTTGTTTAAATACGGGGATAGTAGCCAATGAAGTAGATGTTAAATGTAAATCTGGTGTTGACATTGTTTTCCCTCCAAGTCCTAAAAGCGGGTACTTAATTTAATATTCCATCCCTAGCAATATTTGAGTCTCATCTCATAGTAATCTTTTTTTATTGTCAAACATTCATCTTCCAGAAATTTTAAAAAAGAACCATTCTTTACTGTAACCAAGAATTCGATATTTTCTTGGTACTATTCAATAGTGGACTCCCGACTTACTATTGCAAAGTGCTATCCGTTTTCTTGCAAAAAATTTTTTAAAAAAGTTATGGCCAGTCAAAGTTGGACCGCTAGAGTCTGGGGTAGAAAGAAAAGAAAAAAGAACGATCTTCTTGCTCTTTAGCTTCAACCCCTTTTCTTAAACCGAATTCGTGGTTCCATTAAAGAATGGTTCCTTCCTTGCAAGTAAAAGATAAGTTAAGTAAAACTGAAATGGCAGAAATAATACAAGAATTAATCTGATACTCAAAAAGGGACAATATTAAATAAGTACCTATAGGTGTGAAGCTCCCATCCAATCCACCTCCAATATTTAAAGAGATATTATTTGCTTCAATTTTTAAATTTGGAATTGAACTTGTTGGAATTAAATTATTTTGTTGTTGTTGAGGGAGAGGATTATTGTTGGTGGGAATTCCTTAAAAAATTCTGATTCAAGTCAAATTTTGTTTTAAAAACCTGAATTAGCTATTGTAGAATTAAGAGCAGCTTTAAGACCAGAAAGGCTTGCAGCTATTAGAGATGTTGACGGGATAAAAGGAGAAGATTGACCACTTCCAATTTGGTGGGTAGAGCTCATATCTAGGACCTAAAAATAAATCTTTATTTAAATTTTAAGTCATGATTAGCAATAAGGATCCAAAATGTTTATATCTACAAAAAACCTAGTCATAGCTCCCAGACCTGGTAAGCTGAAGGTCTCATGTCAGTCAGACAGGCATGAGCCTGGGAACTTTAATTGATTTTGTGGGCCATTTACCTACCATAAGGAGGATCGAAGGTTCTCGATGTTTGTCCGATTATTTTAAGCAAGGGAAGGAGAAAGTCTGCCCCAGTAAATTTGAACTTTGAGCACGTATCCTTCAACAAATTCGAAGAGGTAAAAGGTTCGATCCTTGCCCAATGACTTAATGAGGTAAAATGAAAAGGTAATCGAGTTTTTTTCCCAAATCTCCCTCCATTTCCTCTGCTTTTTAAAATAATCCCCCAAAAATAAAAATCTCATTTACAGCATTTAAAACATCAGAAGTACACGGCGTCTTTAGTTGTTGATTATCATCTTGTTTGCTTAACAATCCATTTTCTCGAAGCTAAAAAGAAGTAAAAACATCTAAAAAACTCACAAAAATTTCAAAAAACCTGTTGAACTTTTCTAGATAGATCAATAGTTTTACGAATTTCTCCTTCAATATCAGCCGTGAGAACATTAATATTTGAAAAAATTCCAGGAGAATGAGTTGACGAAATGGATGGGGGCAAGTTGAGAACTGAAGACAAAACTGTTTTTAAATAAAGAAAAGTTGAGAAATTTTGTGTTTTTGGGTACTTTATGGATAGATTGACAAGAAAAATAGGGCATTCTTAAAAGTCCGAGATACAAGTTAACGGAATTTGAAAGACTTGGATTAACGGTCAGTTAACCGAACCGAAAAACGGTGTGTTTCGTTCTTAATCCAAACAAGGAGTCGAAAAACGGCCGTAAACGAAAACTGTGGGGTTCCAGTTAAAATAAAGTCACCGACAAAACTAAAATTTGGGTGCAATTCCTATAAACTCTTTTACAAGAAAAACGAGGAAACCTTGAAAAATAAGTCGAAAGGTCCGTAGAAACAACCAGAGGTAAATCGGAAATGACAAATATGCAGGAAATGGAACTGTCGGAAATCGGAATTCCGTTTCACCTCCGGAAACAACCCCGCTACCAATTAAAACCAAGTGAACTCCCAAGATCTTAAGGAGCCCCAAAATTTTTATTCAAAAAAACCTGAAGTCGCCGGTAAATTTCCCGATGTCCCAACTAGTTGTGAATCTCCAATACTGCCTGGCTGTCCACTACTACTAATTTGTTGGTTTGCTTCTCGAAATTTCAAATCAAAAGGATTCACAGACAGACACTTTTGAATTATTTCGGCCGTTGAGGGGACTTCTTCAAAGAAAATTTATAAAAAAATTCAAAAAAATTAAACACTAACGAGATTCATTAGGCGTTAACGATGATAAAAGCCAATCAAATTTACTGCTTCCACTCATATTCATCTTGTGCCAGGATTAATAGGTCAACAATAAGCCAGGATTAATCAAAAGAAGGTTAATATTAAATTTTATTTATTAAAATCTAAAAAGGAGAATTTAATTATAAAAATTTTCAACCAAAAAATTTAACAAAATATAAATGAGGTGACATTTCGTCCCATCTAACAACATTTTTCATTTTCTTACAAACAAACACAAATTTTTTTTCAATGTTTATTAAATGCATTGACATAAAAATTAAAATTTTGGTGCAAAAAAATTCATTTTCCAACTCCATCCCTCCTCCTTCCCTTCCCACCTTCTTCTCCCCTTTCCTCGATTTTTGGAACAAACAACATTTTTATTGCTTTTCCTTCAATTTTTAAACATTTTTTAAAAAATAAAATTATCAAAGCATTTTTCGCTGATAAAACAAAAATTCGTCATTTGACACATTTAAATTTTTTAATAAAGAAAAAAACGAATCCGGAAACTAAGAAATTTAAAGCAAAAAAATAATAATAAAATCGACCCACAAAAATTTCCTAAAAAAAGTCCCTTTTCCCCTACATTCTCTAACTTTTTCTTCTCTCTAATTTAACAATCCTCAAAAAGGTTTATTAAAGTCACAAGCTAATCAAACAAAGTTAAACTAGACTCTAACTTGAGTATATTTGACCTTTCTTTTTTTCTCCTTCTCTACTCTTGCAAGAGTTCAAGTTAAGGTTAGACACAAGTTAAGTTAGACATTTAACACATTTTGCCAAACCCACATTTTGCCAATTAGGCTAAAAACCTGCATTTTGTCAACAAACTTAGTGACAAAACACAAGGTTTTAGCCGTATTGGCGAAATGTCCACATTTCAAAATTGAAAAGAATTTACATACCTCACCACCACAAAAAAAAATAAAAAGAAAAATACACGAATTCTTGACGACATGCTGTTATTAATCTCGTAATATCGATCAATTAAAGTTGCCAAATAAGGACACTTTTAGTAAAATTAGTCTGCCTAGTATTGATAGGAAATAGACAAGAAATGATGTGATCAAAAACTATTTTTGACTGTACGTTAGAGTCTGAGAAACGGAAAAGGGCAAAAACAAGACTCAAAGGGGAGCAAATTTTTTGGAATAAATTTTTCCCCTTTTTTGTGGATTTAAAAAATTTTTTGAAATATTCGTAAAATGAATGAGAAGAGAAAATATGAAGCAACAAAATTTAATAAATTTAAAAAAATAAAGGAGAGATAAATTCCATGTAGCGCGAGAAATGTTAAGTAACCGTGTGCCTTTCAATAAAAGGGGCTTAAAATTTGAAGAAAGAAAAAAATATTTGTAAAAAGATGAGGATGATTATATAAAAAAATAATTTTAAAAGATTTAAGGATTAAAATACTTTAATAAATTAAAACAAAAAGAGAAAAAATTTTTTTGTTGAAAATTTTACGGAAAAATTTTCGGGTCATTAGAGTCCTGAACAGAAAAATTTTCAAAAAACCTCCCATTTTTACCCCCAACATATCTCATGATTATGCAACATAAAAAAATATTTTTTCTGCCTAGTTTAACAGTAAATGAAAAATTATCTCCCCTCTCCCTTCCCTTTCCTCTTTTTTCATTCCGGAAGAAAAAAGAGAATATTACGTATATCTAGTCGTTGCCAGGAACAACAACAACTCCCACTAAACATATTTCAGCAATGACCAAGAGATGAATGAATAATGGAATATGAGGAGGATTAATACACACTTTTAGGGCTTAAAAATTGAGTAAAGAACACGCAAAAATTAATTAAAAACAGAAAATTTTTAAAATAATGCGCAAATATGCTTTAGGCCTTAAGGTGTGCGCCATAAAATTTTTGAGAAATTTTTCAAGGCCTAACAACCCCAAATTTTTTTAAATTTAATGCTAGAAGTCTCAACAAAAATTTTCTTCAAACCCTAAACTCTTAAAAGCAAAAAATCCCTCAAAATATTAAAATTAAAAAATAACGCCAAAAACGCCATGCTTATGGCGCACATTAAATTTCTTATAATTCTTGTTGAGTCACACTTTTGGAAGAAAAAAAAAGTTTTTAAAGTGCGGATAAAAAGGGATAAGAGACAGAAAGAAGCCTTATAAAGATTAAAATATTTTTTAAAAATAAAATAAAAAATATTTCGACCAAAAAATGTGTTAAAAATTGTGTGAAGTGGTATGGAACGAACGAATAAATGCTTGTGTTTGGTTAAACAAAAATTAGAAAAAAACAGAAATTTTTTATATTAAAAAATAAATAGAGAGAGGCATTAAGAATTGAGAAAAAAAGTGAAAGACTAATATAATCCTTAATGTCAAATAAATAATTAATTTTACGACGTATGACATTTTAAGGGATAAAAATAAAGGCTTCTCAAAAATATAGTGAAGAAAAAGTAGCGAAAAGTAGGCTTTTTTGAGTCTGATTTTTTTCTAAAAAATTGTAACTTAAAAAATAAATCGAAAAAATGAAAAATAACACCAATTCTTAATTTTCACCATCATCTACCAACAAAAGGATTCGAAACTCCGACCCCTCACAAGTCAAAACCAGAAATTTTCCAACTACACCAAAACACCAACCTAAAAATCTAAAAAATTCTTGACTTAAAAAATAAAAAATTAAATAGAAAAAATCAAATTTACAACCCAATTTAATTTCAACACATGGTTTTCCAACAAAAAGATTCGAACCCTTGACCCCTACATGCCTCACAAACAGAAACTTTCCAACTACACCAAAGCACCAACCTAAACAAACTTGGAAACATCAACCTTTAAATCTCTAAATATAATTCAACAAATATTTTTTCTACTTAAAAAACCTTTTTTATACCCAAATGTACTTAAAAAAAAAGAAAAAGCGGATGTGATGACCTCACAATTGTATTTGCATGAATACCAAAATATTTCTCTCTCATTTTAATAGAAAGCACAAATAACGCCTTTTTAAACAATCTATTTTTTGTTAACGGATAATAAAAAGAGAGTCTCTAATTTCACACCCCCTTATTTTTTTTGTAAAATTACTAGGCTAATTAGTTGGACATTTTTTTAATTTTTAAAAATTATTTAATAGGGCAAAAATTGTATTTATTTATTTAATTTTAGTTGGCAGCAGAATGGAAAAGAAGCAAAAAAATTTAAAAAATATTTAACATATAAATATAAGAAAAAATCCGTAAAAATATACAAAAATCACCCAAGTTTATCAAAAAAATTAACAAAAAAATAAAAAATCAGAAAAAATCCCTTCAAAATTCCCCTAATTATCCCCAAAAATTAAAAAAATATTTCGCATAAATATAAGAGAATAAACAAAAAAGTTACCCAAGTTTAGCGAAAAAATAGAAAAAAAAACTTTAAAAAATCACGCTTTAAAAATAAAAAAAATCCGAAAAAATCCCTTCAAAATACCCACATTTTCCCCCTTATGGTTCTGTGGTCTAGTGGATTACTGCCCTGTCTTTAACTAAAAATTAAATAAAATAGAGGGAAGGTTCGATTCCTACCGTTAGCATTTTTAAAAAAATAATTATAGACCAAAAATTAATGCATTTTTGAATAAATTAATTATTTTTTTGAAATAATTATTTTTTGGAATTAATCTCTAGAATTAATTTAAGAAAGCTTAAACATTTTTCTAATTAAAAAATGCGCGTGATGAAGAGGGGATTTGCTTGTTAATTAATATTTTTTTGCTTGCTTATTAAAATAAATTTCTGTAAAAATATTTTCTTTCTAATAAATAAATGCCTCACCCAAAAAAATATTTACAAAGATTAAGCTTTTTTGGACCAGAAAAAGGAAAAAAAGAGAAAGAAGGAAAAGGAAATGTTTTTTGGAGCAACACAAAATGCCAAAAAATATTTTTTTTTCTAACGATTTCTTTCCCCTGTTTTTTTGCTTCTTTAATTCCTTTTAAAAAACGGAAAAAAATAAACGGGAACGCGCTAACAAGCATTTTTACACGAATTACGCAATTGCCGAAGAAAACGAGAAGAATAAAGAAGAAAAGAGATTAGCAACCAACATAACAAAAAATATATGTAGAGAGGGGTACAGCCCAAGTAGGCGCGCAGCCATAACATGCTTCAAAATTTTCGAATCTTACCAAATCTAGTGTTAAACGATTCCTCTCATCGAGCTAAAGAGATTGTTACCAGAATTGATTAGGGCCGGAAATTTTTTATCAAGTTATGGCTTTGCGCCGTAATGGCCGCGCGCCTACTTGGGCGTGTCCCTGTAGAGAGAGAAAGATAAAAATTTTTAAATTGACAAGAAAAGAGAGGGAAAAGCTTTATGGCCAATATATAATAGTTAGGTTACTCCAAAAATTTTTTTATTTTTTCTATTCTTTCTCCACTTCCCTTGGCATTTTCCCCCCAAAAAAAGCTTTATATCGACTTTTATTTTTTCTCCCTCTCTCTACTAAACAAGCATAGGACCCCCTATATTGCTTTATTTGGAGCGTGTGAATAGTATTAGTAGTTAAATAGAAAGATATTTATTTTTTTAAAGAAAGAAAGCTGTTGCGGAGTGTTTTTGTATTGTTTTTAAAAAAGAAGTTTAGTAAAAAGTGAGGGACTTTAAGGAAAAATAAAATAAACGGAAAGATTTCCTTAAAAATGAGCTTTATCTCTCCCACAAGAATCATAAAATATAAGGAACACCCAGAAAACGTTACCAAAAAATTTTGTAAAAAAAAAGTTTTTTGTCTCATACGCGGAGTCGGAAAACTAGAAATCCTAAACCTATTGGCCTTCAATCACCCAAAAATTAAAAAAAATTTTAGAAATTAAGAAAGTTATCCAAAAAGTGAAGAGAAAAGTTTTAGTCTCTTTGGGGCCTACATAATAAGACAAAATATTTTTTACAAAAATTTTCTAGTCAGATGACTTCGTGTCTCTTATTAAGTCCCGGGAATCAAAAAATTTTATGAACTTAAAAAGGACAAAATATTAAACTTTAAAAAAACCTCAAAAATATTTCTCTATTTAATTTTAAACCTTCCAAGTCTTGTACTAAAAAGTATTGACTGAATCCAACCAGCATAATCACCAAATAATTCAATATAAAATTGACCTAAAAAAATTTTTTTGAAATTTCCCCCCAAAAATTTCAAAAAATACCAATTTGTTTTGATAAATTTTCTGTTAAATTTGTTGTCGTTTTTGTTTTATTTAAATTTAAAAATGTTGGTTTATATATTTCTATTGTTAATTTTAATATATGTCTATCAACAGGTACAACATTATGCATTCCTAATGCCATTAAACAAAAACAATCAGAAACCTATTTTAAAAATAAATAATTGAAAAAATTAAATTTTGTGAAATGTTGGTGACCTAATAAAAATTTAAAAAAAAATTTGGGAAATGAAAAAATAGGAGAAAAAACCCAGGCCCAGGAAAAACTCAGGAAGGTCAAAAATTGCCTGGACTCTGGGTACATGAAAAAACACAGGGGTTGGTCCAGATCCAGCTCGATCAATAATACACATAAGAAGTCAATTTTTAAGATATGGGACCAAATGTCTCGATTCAATGTCTCAATCCCCTAAGAATCTAAGAAAAACAAACTTTAGGTCCAACGCCAGGTAATTTTTGCAATTCTTTTGATGCCTCCACATATTTTAATTCCCCCAAAGATTTTAACCAACATTCAGCCCCTCCAGCATTTTTAATTGATTCTTCATTTAAAAGTTTTTCAACAGTTTTAGAAACATTTTTGGCTCTGTAACCAAATCCGCATTTTCTTAATGTTTCTTCCATTGAAGATAAATTGTTAGTTAATTGTAGAAATGTCGGAAAATTATAAAAAGTGCCATTATTTAAATCTATTTTAGTTCCATAAAGAACACAAAATTGTTCAACCATTTCTAAAAAATAGATTTTTATTAAAATTTTAACCTTAGGAATCAGAAAATTTTGTCTTGTTAATCATTTCTTCAAGTCTTCGGAATAGAACAGACGATGAGACGTTTATCTGACAATAATTGACCACTGGTCATTTTTGTTTTTTTTTTGTAAATAGTGCCAAAACTAGAGACAGGACTGAAAGGGCCGTAGACGAAAAAACTCGAAAAATATCCACCTCAGTAATCGAGCTTTTTGTTTGAGATCTTGTCTCAATTAAGTCTCTAACCAATCAGTCTTGGGCGCTCTAAATAGTCACAAAATCCCATTAGACAAAAATGCCAATCTCTTAAGGAAAAGCCTACACACTAGAAAAACTAAATTTTAAAAAATTAGTTCAAACTTGAAATTCTCGAAATATTGTTGTTAGCAGAGAATATGAATGCAAATAAAGCCTTAAAATTTTCAAATACGCTATCAATTAATTTTTAATTTAAAAAACCTCCAATGGTTCTTGTTTCAATATACGAATTCCTTTAAAAACCTCCCCCTTCTCCTCAATCAATTTTCGAAAATAACTACACTTTGAAGCCCACTCCTTGTAAAGTTGTTCCAAATCTATATCCAACTAATTGAATCATTTTCTGTTAAAATTCAAAAAAAAAATTTCCTCAAAAAACCTGAAAATATTCTTCAAGTAAATCTTTAGAATCCCTCATTTCTTCGTCAAAATTATGGCAAACTTCATATCCAATCCTTTCATTATCTATTCTCCATATCCTCCAAACACGATGATAAAATACACAAATCCAACAATTTTGATTTTGTTCCTTTTTGCACCTAAAAAATTTTTTATTTATTTTTAACTAAAAATAACTAAAATACCTAAAAGATTGCCCATTATCTAGAAGAACATCTAAATTTAATTGTGAAGTTGAAGCAAATATTTCTCCTTTCATTTTTAGGAATCAGAAAAAGAATAAAATTTGAAAAAATATTTTTGAAAATATGTAGATATTATGAAAATGGCGAAATGACTTTTCTTAAAATGACAATTTATCCGAAAACATATTATGCCAATTCGACATTTTGCCAATAAGGGCAAAAACTACCGTTTTGTCAACAAAGACTTAGGCAAAACGTCGTTTTTAGTCTTATTGGCAAAATGTGGGTTGGCAAAATATTGATGAAGTCTAATCTTATTAAATCATATTTTGCCAATTCCACATTTTGCCAATAAGGACAAAAACTACCGTTTTGCCTACTATTTTTAGCCGTATTGGCAAAATGTGTTTTGAGGCCTAACTACAGTTTCCGTACCAGGCTCAGAATTGGACGATTTATATGTCATTCGAAAGAGCTCGTCGAGCTGAGTCGAACGACACCAAAATTATTCAGCGGAAAAAATTCTGAGCCGAGTTACAGGCCCCCGAAAATCGAAAAACCATAGGGGGGACCAAGATGATTTTTGGGGTGAAAAATTCGAATATGCAATTAATAGCTCATTTGAAAGAGCTCTTCAAGCCGAGTCGAATGACACCAAAATCGCCGTGATTGGTCAAGTTTGTTCAAAGTTATGACAGAAAAAACAACGTAAACCTATGGGGCGTCGGCGAGGCGCTTGTGCAAAACTCCGCGCTTCGCGCGGAGTTTTGCGGCACGCGCCTCGCGGGGAGTCTACGGGCTCTGGGTTTGGGCTCGTAACTTAATCCTATTCCAATTATCGCTGTGATGGGCATGCCCAGCTTCCTCCGCAGCAGCAAGAACATCCACGGAGAACAAAGGTAAGGAGCTAAAACAAACGAGCATAACTTTGTCAAATCAAGTCTGATTTCATTGATTTTGGTGTCATTCGACTCAGCTCGATGAGCTCTTTCGAATGACGTATAATTTGCATATTCGAATTTTTCACCCCCAGAAAACAGCTTGGTCCCCCCTATGGTTTTTTGAACTTAGGGGTCTGTAACTCGGCTCAGAATTTTTTCCGCTGAAAAATTTTGGTGTCATTCGACTCAGCTCGACGAGCTCTTTCGAATGACATATAAATCGTTCAATTCTGAGCCTGGTACGGAAACTGTAGTTTAGCCTGTTTTGACAAAATATGATGAAGACCTTATTATCTTTTATTTTAATCCGCTCTATTTCTCTGCACACACTCTCTCACAAAATCCAGCTCCTCTCACAAATCCTTTTTGCACCTCCAAGAACCAAACATTTTCCTAATCCTACTATTAAATTTTTGTTTTTTTAGATTTCTAAAATGTCTGAAAAAGATCTTAAAATAAAAACTGGAGTTTTGAAGCGTTATGTACAAGAAGCAAATTCTTATAAGACTGAAGTACAAAAACAATCAAGCAAAATTAATTCATTAAAAGAATCTCAAGAGCCTGATGAATATATGATTAAAGTTTTTTTATTTTTTTTTCTTTTAATTTTTTAAAAATTCCTTTAAGAAGGCTGGTGAAGTTTTACAAGAAAGTAAACAAATGTTTAGTTTAGCTTCAAAAAATGTTCAAAAAGCACGTCTTGAACTTGAATCGTTGCTAACATCTTATGGGGAAGAGAAGAATGACGAATTGAAAACTAATGCTCAACAAATGATTCAAAAAGCTTTGGAATTTGAAAATAACAATGCTGCTTAACTTTTTTAAAAAGTATTTTTTTAATATTTATAAATAAACATTTTTCGTTTCTCACTGGGTGTAGAACTTGAAAATATTTTTTCACTTATATTAGGATCATTATGACCTCGGGTCGGTAGGGCCTCGTACATGGATTACTTGGAGATTTGTTAGCCTGTGTAGACCTTGTATCTTCTAGCTAATGGTAGGCCTACGCTCTATCTTCACGCCAACCCCTTAAAAGCTGTCGAAATGCCAAACAGGCAAAATTCGGGCTTTTCTAAAATTACTTCTAAATTACTTTTTCTAAAATTTCTTCCTAAAATCCTTAAACTTGTCAAAAAATCCCAACCATCTGAGCAATATATAAAATCTTTTAAAAAACGAGAACAATAAAAAATTATTAGGACCATTTTTGGCATTTTTTCGAATAAAAAATATAGCCAAAATGACCCTTTGCACATTTAAAAAAAGCTGAAGATCAGCAAGCGTATGTAGAAATTCAAAAAATTTTTCCACCGGGATTCCTCGGAGATTATTCTTTTCTTTACCAAAAAAAAATTTTTTTATTTTGATGATTCCATCAAAATAGAAGGACTACTATTCCTTTTAATTCCATAATTTTTCTTCGTCTTTGAAGAATCTAAAAATCCATTTTGTGGTGCTCTTCTTTCTGTATTGTTTCTTTTTCTTTTAGTATAATAGTTATTTCCAGATGACCGTTGTTGATTTCCCCCAATTTTTGTTTCAGAAATTCTTGGAGAACCAAATTTAGCATAATAACCTTTTTTAAAAAATTTTTTTAAATTTCCCCAACCCCTAAGTTTCTCAGAAAAATTTCAAAAACTTACTTTCATTTCTCATAACGTCCTGAATTGTTCTAAACCGACAACAAAGCATTTCTCCAAATGGAACACGAAATTCTCGATTATATTTGCAATAAATTATTGGGTTTAACATGCTGAAAAAATATGGGACTATGTCTAATTTCCCTTAATTTCCAAAAAACGTTGAGTGAAGGAATAAGGGAGATCCAGCTGGCTAGTATTTAAAACGTTTATACTAGGTGAGAGGTTAAAAATCTATTAAAAGAGCAATAACTGCCAGGAAATTTTTTACTTTACCTCTCGCTTACTTAAGAAATCTCTTGGGGAACTCCAAACCTAATAACTGCCAGAGGGCGCAGAATGCCTGCCCGGATCTAACAATAATCTTTTCTTCTTTATTTAATACTTATATAAAAAACCCCAACTTGTCCCTATTTTTGGGGGTAAAATCCTTTCAAAAAAGTCCTGCGCCCCGGCCGAAGGCCGAGGAATTTTTTCAAAGGTGGATTTGTCCTGTAACTTTTTGCGCTCTATTCAGGAAAATTATGACCTCGGCGCTGAAACGTCGTTTTCGCACTGAAACGGCCATGGGTGGTTTTTCAAATGGAAATAGCGCGGAGGGGTGAAGTGTGAGCAAAAAGTGCTTGCTGGGAGGAACTCCAGTTGGGATATGTACTATATCGTAGGAAAAATCTTGGAGGCCTGGGATCAACGCCTGAGGCTGTGGCCTTGGCTAAAAATTGTACATCTCGTCCCAAAATGACACATGGTGTCCGACGAAATTCACCGACAATTTACAAACTATATGCCATTCGATAGAGCTCCATGAGTAGGTTCTGGAAAAATTTGGTTCAAATTTTTCTGACCATTTTGGGCAAAGTTATGAGACTCAAAAGGTCCAAAATGTCCCGAACCCCTACCGTGAAGGGTGGCTCCCATCGAGTGTAATTATAAAAGTGGTTAAACTTGGGCAAACGGTTTCAACTCTTTTTTGGCATAATAGGGCACTAAGTGTACTACAATTTTGTTGGGGGACACTTGAGTCTGGAATTTTTTTCTGACATAGTTATGGGCACCAAAGTGACCTCGCCAAAACCGACTTTTTAACGCGTGAATTGAAACTCGATTTTAGTATCCTATCTTGTAGAGCGTCCCTTGAAACCTCTAAAAATATATACTTTGTTGGGGGTTCACTTGAGTCTGGGAAAGTTATAGGGCAAAAAGTGGCATTTTTGGGGCCAAAAGTGGTCGGTTTTTTGGGTATAACTTTTTTTTAAAAATTTTTAAAAATAAACGGACTTTAGATTCGTGTTCAGCACCCTTTGGAGTACCATAAAACATATTTTTCTCGAGGTCGAATTTTTGACCCATTTTTGAAGGGGTACCCCTTTTGAAATTTTTTGGTAAATTTAAATTGGGCATAACTTTGTATGTTTTTGTCATAGCCAAACGAAATAAGGGTTATAAAATAGAGCAAAATATTACAAATTTTTTGAGCTATTTAAATTTTTGAAAAATTTAACCCGAAGCCTGGTAGGGTCGATTTTTTGAAAATTCAAAATTTTTCGGTTTTTTAAATTTTCTGGGGTATATCGAGGCTGAGGGTGGTTGTAAATATTTTTATAAAATAGAGCAGAATTTTTACTATATATTAAGCTTTTAAAATGTTTCAAAAGGGTCACTTTTTGGGGAGTTATGAATTTTTGAAAAATTACGTGAATTTTTCGGAAGAAATTTTCGGCCAAAAAAATTTTTTTTGGAAAAATCGAAATATAGGGCCAAATTTTATATCAATCGAAAGCTCTCATCAAGCTGAGCTTAAAAATATTTTTTGCAAAATTTTCTGACCATTTTGTACAAAGTTACAAAAGGTCGAAATTTCGGGTGAGGGGGGTTTGGGGGTCGAAGGCCCCCAAACGGCGGGCCGGAGGCCTGCCGTGCGAGGGCCGAAGGCCCGAGCGCTCGATGCCGAAGGCCGAGGAGTTACGGCGAGGGCCGAAGGCCCGAGCTTAAGATCCATCCCAAAATGGGTCGCGAGGGCCGAAGGCCGAGGAGTTACGGCGAGGGCCGAAGGCCCGAGCTTAAGATCCATCCCAAAATGGGTCGCGAGGGCCGAAGGCCCGAGCTTAAGATCTATCCCAAAATGGGTCGCGAGGGCCGAAGGCCCGAGCTTAAGATCCATCCCAAAATGGGTCGCGAGGGCCGAAGGCCCGAGCTTAAGATCCATCCCAAAACGAATAGCGAGGGCCGAAGGCCCGAGCTTAAGACCCATCCCAAAACGAATCGCGAGGGCCGAAGGCCCGAGCTTAAGATCCAACCCAAAATTAATCGCGAGGGCCGAAGGCCCGAAGCAATGAAAAGGCAGAGCTAAACTTCACCGGCGATGGCCGAAGGCCCGAAGCAATGAAAAGGCAGGGCAATCTTTACCGTTTCTAGCAGCGCGCGAAGCGCGCCCCAAAGCCGTTAGGCTTTCCAACGGGCAGAGCAAAATTTTACCGCCAGAGTATCCTAATAGGAATTGCATACGTAACTTACCGTCATACCCCAATGGGCACAACTAGTTATTAAGGGAATCTAAACCTGACTTCGGAACCAAAAAAGACCCCAAATAAAAATTTTTCAAAGAAACCTATTAGAATATCCAAGCCATAATGTAAGTGAATCAAGCCATCTAGGAACATAATTTACCCAATGCTGTGATTTTGCCAAAGCTAAAATAAAAAATGGCACCCAACAAATTATGAAGGCACTCATAATAATTAATACCTTAAAAATATTTAAAATTAAAAAAATTATTATTTCTAAAAAAATACTATTGGAACACGTAAAGTCCCCAAAGTAGAAGAAGATCCTCCACCACCACCACTACTACTAGCACTTGTTCTAACTTCAATTCTTAAATTTTCATCATCATTCACAACTTCTCCATTAGTTTTATTATTTTGATGATCATAATATCCAAATTTTTGTGCTGACATACGCAATGCAAAAAGAAATCGAGCATTTGCACGTGCTATTGAATCATTTCTAAATAAAGATTTAGCTGTTGTTGTTGTTGGAGGTGGAAGTCCGTCTTCTAAATCTCCATCAGAAGGTAAATGTACTCCTTGCCAACGTAAAACCTTTTATAAAAAATTTTGAAAATAATTTCTGTGTTTTATTTTAGTTTAAAATGGTTTAGTAGAGCATATAACAAAAAATTAAAAAGATTTGCCCGGAAGGAGTCGAACCCACGACCTCCAAACAAGGTAGACCTTACCAACTAAACCAAAAATCAATTTTTTATTAAAAAGTTTATGAGATGATTTCTGAAAATCTGTGAAGACTCATCTAACCTAAGTTTCCAAAAAACGTCCACTAAAGTGGTCGAACCCACGATCTCCACGAATAAGACAAAACCTAGACCTTACCAACTAAACCAAAAATTCATTTTTTCTCAAAAAGCTTTTCAATTGATTTTTTTGAAAATTTCTAAAAACTCCAAACCTCTTGTCGATTTCTCAAATTTAATTAAAATTAAAAAATACTAATTGATCTTGTCTATGCATTCTTTTCGCAGCACTCCATAATTTAACATAAACAATAACCATTATTAATGATGGACCCCAAAACGCAATAATTGTTGCATAGATTTGATAAACACGATTTTGTGAGACCTTAAAAAATATTTTTTATTTTTTAAATTTATTTTTTAAATTAATTATTTCGGGGTTTGGTCAAAAAAAATTTTTTTCATTAAAAAATTTCAAAAAATTTTAAAAAATATTTTTTCTTCTTCCCCCCTTATATTTTAATTTATTCTTTCCCTTTTAAAAATTCCAATTTTTGGCTTCCTTTTCCTTCTTTATTTTTTATTAGCTTTTTTTGAATTTTTTTACAATTTGTTTATTTGCTCAATAAATTAGAAAAAAATAAAATAAATTGTTAGGTAAATAATACAAATAAATCAAACTATTGGCAAAGCTGTTGAGACTCTCCCTGGAAGAGGAGAGTCAAAAAATGAGCGAGCATTTTTCTCATGGAATTTTTATTTTTTTTGGAATATTCTGCCCATATAAAAACGTTAAAATGTGCGCTAAAGCAATTTCTTCATTTTTAAAATTTTTTGGCGTTTAAAAAAATTTTTGTATGACGCACAGCTTTGTTATAAAACAAATTGAAGTAAAGGATTGAAAATTGGAAGAGAAACGGGTGTTTAAATAAATATATATGGGTGGTCCAAAAACAAGGAAGGAATAAATAAAAATAAAAAAATTGAAAATGAAGTACTTTGATGGGAATTCTAAAATGAGAAAAAAAATTTTTCTGGCCAAACCCCAAATTAAAAAAATTATTTTTTTCTGGCCAACCCTCCATGTTTTAAAAAATTTAAAAAAATTTTGACAGACTCCTATAAAATTTTTTTGACCAAACCCCACAAATTAAAAAAAAATTTTTTTCTGACCAAACCCCCACAAATTAAAATTCAAAAAATAAAACCTGACAATATTGCTCAATTTTTGGAAACGGTAACAATGCTAAAGGTGCAGCAGAAACTAACAAAGCACCCAACCAAACAATACAAATATATAAACAAATACGTCTTCGAGTACGTAATGCCGAATATCGAAGTGCTCTTTAAAAAAAATTTAATTTTTTTTAATTAAAAAAAATTTAAAAAAACCTAGTCACAGCCAAATGTCGATCAACAGAAATTGCACACAAATTTAAAATTGAAGCTGTACACAAAGTTAAATCGGCAGTGACCCAAAAACGGCAGAGAATATCACCTGTTAAAATTTTTATTTGAATTAGATTTTTAAAATAATTTTTACCAAATATCCAACGATCTTCCAAAACATAAACTGCAGCTAAAGGCATTACAAAAAGGCCAACACCTATAAAAATAAAGAAAATAAAATTTGTGGGAAAATTGTTTCCAGCATTTTACAATTTGTAAAAAATTAGGATTTCAGAAAAGTTTTTACAATTCCTAAAAAAAGTTTTACAATTTGCGAAAAAAGTTTCCAACCTTTTACAATTTGTAAAATGCTTATTGTTAGAAGTTCAAAAAAAGTTTTGACAATTACGGAGTTTTCTCGAAATTGTAAAACTTTCTTTTACAATTTGTAAAACTTTTCTTTCCGGAATTGTACTAGAATTTTTATCCAACCTTTTACAATTTGTAAAAAAAAGTTTTAACATTAAAAAGTTTTCAATAATAGCCAGAGAAAGTTTATTTAATTTTACAACTTTACGGAAATTGTAAAACTTGACAAAAATTAATTTATTGTTATTTTACAATTTGTAAAAACGTTAGAATTTCAGAAAAGTTTCACAATTTGTAAAAAAAGTTTATTTATTTTACAACTTTCCTCAAATTGTAAATTCAAAAATTAATTTACAATTTGTAAAATTCAAACTTACAAAAATCAGCCAAAGCAAGTGATATAAGCAACAAATTTGCAGGTTGCGCTTTTAATTTTCTAACTAACAAAATTGCAGCACAAACACCCAAATTTCCAATTACAGTAATTAAAATTAATAAAAAAATAAAAATTGAGATTAAAATTGCAATTAATGGATGAGAATGAAATAAAGACGAATTTGTAGCAGGCCAAATTTCATCAACAAAATTTGGTTCAAGCAGAGGAGATCTTTGGGAAGATGAAGGGAATAATGACGAAGAAGATGAAAATAAATTTAAATTTGTACTTGTGTTGCTTATATTATAATCTTCATTTTCTTCAATTTCTACAATTTGTGCATGGACAAAAGACCCTCCCAAATGATGCAAAATTAATGAAGAGTCGTCCAAATTTTTCAAGCCATTTTCTAACATTTTTCTTAAAAAATTAAAATTAAAAATTATTTTAAAATAAAATTAAGAAATATTTAAATTGCCAAAATTTATTAAAAAAGGAAAGAGAGAGAAAATTAAAAGGAGAGGAGGAATAATTTAAAGAGGGGGAAAGCAGCCAAAATGAAAGCGCGACGGACGGTCGGACAAACATTTTTAGAAGGGGGGAAGGGGAAAAAATTTTTTTCTTTAAATTTCTTCATTCCATTTATAGATGCTGATCACTGAATTGAATTTTGAAAGAAAGAAAAAAAAATTAATGAGGTGAACATGTAAAAAATTGAGAGAGAAGGAAAAAGGCGGAGACTTTAGGTAGGGGAAGGAAGGAAATTAGACGTCGCGCCCTTCCAATTTATTTGATTTTTAGGTGCAGAAAAAAATTTTTTTTAGAAAATATTTTAGCTACCCAACTGGAAGCATGATAAACAAGAAAAATATCACAAAACAATTCAAAAATGAGGAGAAAAAATTTAAAAAAATATAAGGCCCAACAGGAAGTGAATGAGACACTCCTAATTTTTCCTTTGAATGATTCCCCTAAAAAATTTTTTTCCTTAGATTCCCCTAAATTCCCTTAAAACGAATGCTTCCCCAAAAGAACTGTGAAGATGAGAGTGAAAAATGAAAAAAAATGAACGGCGATCAGAAAATAAAGAACCTAAGAATAAAAGTTTAGACAAAAAGGAGTTTCTGAAAAGTGTGTTTTTTAGGGTCTTTTTTAATTGAATTTATTTTTAGAAAAATTCAAAAAAAAAATTCAAAAAAATTGACTGGCTAACTCAACATCTGTATATTTTTTAATTTTTATAAAGAGCCGAAAAAATTAATATTTAGATCCATATGTCGATTTTTTATGAATGAGGGAGACAGAGAGGGAAAGGAAAGAGGCAAAAACAGATTTTTATGATTACCCCTTTCTTTAAAAATTAAAATCTAATAAAATCTATCAAAAAAAAATTTTTTAAATTTAAAATACTAAGAAGAATAAAACAAAACAGTTCCCCCCAATTTTAACAAAAAAAATTAATGAAGAAATGAGAGAAGAGTGGGAAAAATCCATTAGAAATTAAAGAGAAAATCCCCAAATAAAATTTAAAAATTTTTTCTTTTGTCTATTTTTTGAGGAAAAAAGTCATAAAATTTTTTACAAAGTTTAGACTAGTTGTAAAAAAATTTTTTGGGGGTCAAAAATTTTTTTTTAATTTTTGTTTCCCCCAGTTGATCAAATAATTCATTTAATATTGGACTGGAGAAAAAATTTAAGAAAAATTTTTTTCTTAATCCTCCAAACTTTATCCCCTCAAAAAATGCCCAAAAATAGACAAAAGAAATCCTAGAGCCGTGAGGTTATTCCTTTTTAATTTTTTCAAGAAAGAATTGTTTGACGAAAAATTTACATTATTTTTGGCCCCCGTCATTTTGCTTGTTATTATCCCTCCCAAAATAAGAAACAAAGTAGGGGGAGATGAAATTTGAGCTTTACGGCACGGAAATCGGAAAAATGAGGAATTGAGGAGGGAGAGAGAAGCTAATTTAAATGAAAGGGGAAAATAATTTTTTAGGGGAGAAAAGAGGGGGAACCTTTCATAAAATAATGAATGCCCAAATAATTCAGAAAATAGAAGGAATGAGACCGAAAAGAAAAATAAAGAAAAAAATTTTAAATTAAAAAAAAATAAAAACCTGTAAAACCCGCAAGCAGTAAAAGTTCAGCAAGTAAATAAAAGTCAATAAACCTCAAAAATAACACCACAAAAGGTTTGTTGCACAAAAAATAATTAATCAAAGTCAAAATTAATAAATACATCAAGTTGAATTTGAGTTGAAATAATGTAGTAAATTGATTAGTAAACATTTAATTTGAGCTTGAAGTAAATAAAAAAGTATAGAAAATTAAAAAACCTGAAAAAAATTTTTGAAAATTAAAAAACCTGAAATTTAAAAATAAAATTGTCAACAAAACATAATGCCAAATAAAAAATGTAAACGAACCAAAATGTCCAGGTCGCCAAAAATTTTCTGAAAATTGGTAAAAAATTTAAAAAAATTTTTAAAAATATTTTCAATGTATTTTTGTATTCCTTACATCACTTAAAAATAATTACTTGCGAAATGAGGCGCAAATTTAGTTAAAATTAAAAAAATTTGTCTTTGACTTTTATTCCTCAAATTAATAAAAAAATATTTATTTTTAATCGATCCAATTTTTTTTCAATATTCTTCTTCATGTGTATCAAAAGCCACTTCCTCATAATCTTTTTCTAAAGCAGCCATATCTTCGCGTGCTTCAGAAAATTCACCTTCTTCCATTCCTTCACCAACATACCAATGAACAAATGCACGTTTTGAATACATTAAATCAAATTTGTGATCAAGGCGAGTCCAGGCCTCTAAAGAATAAACAAATTTTTTTTAAACCTCTAAACAAGAAGAAAACCTGCAATTGCTGTAGTATTCGAAAGCATGCAAACAGCACGTTGCATTTTAGCCAAATCACCACCCGGCACAACCGTAGGTGGTTGATAATTAATTCCAACTTTAAAACCTGTTGGACACCAATCCACAAATTGAATAGCTCGTTTTGTTTTGACTGTTGCGATTGCTGCATTTACATCCTAAAAAATTTGAAAAAAATTTTCCAAAAGGTCGTAGAAAAAAGGAAACCTTCGGTACAACATCTCCACGAAAAAGTAGACAACATGCCATATATTTTCCATTTCTAGGATCACATTTAACCATTTGATGTCCAGCTTCAAAACATTTGTTGGTTATTTCAGGTACATTCATATGTTCATGAAATGCTTTTTCCGCTAAAAAAGGGAACAAAAATTTTCCCAAACCATTAAAAATACCAGAAATGATTGGAGAATAAGTAGCTAGAGGGAAATGGATTCGTGGATATGGAACTAAATTTGTTTGGAATTCTGTCAAGTCAACATTCAAAGCTCCATCAAAACGTAGGGAAGCTAAAAAATTTTTTTAATTTTCAAAATTATTTATGACGATAAACCTGTAATAGAAGAAACAACTTGTGCAATAAGACGATTCAAATTTGTGTAGGTTGGACTAAAAGTGAAAAGATATTCAAATATTCCAAACAAAAGACAAACCGGTGAATATCCAAATTTTTTCGGCAAATTTCATAAATTGCTTCATTATCAACCAGAAAAGAACAATCTGAATGTTCCAATGTTGTATGTGTAGAGAGTACAGAATTGTATGGTTCAACCATTGCTTAAGTAAAATTTTGGGAAAAAATTTAATTAAAATTTAATACATGTAGAAATTTGCGGTGCTGGGTAGACGCTAAATTGAAGTTTACATTTCTTGCCAAAATCTGCTGATAAACGTTCCATCATCATTGAGGTAAAGCCAGAACTTGAAAGCAATGAAAAATCATTTTTATTTTGCTTTAATCAAACCCTGTACCGCCTCCAAATGAATGGAATATAAGGAAGCCTTGCAATGAATTACAATGTTCAGCTGTTCCTTAAATTTGGAATTTTATAAAAAAAAATTTCTGGCAAAGACGAACTTCGAATTCGGTCCATAGTTGCCTAAAAATTTAGTTAAACTTTAAAAAAATTTCCAAAAACAAACAAACATCAATTAACTCCTTTCCAATGGTATAATGGCCACGTGCATAATTGTTTGCAGCATCTTCTTTGCCAGTAATAACTGCAAAACAAAAAAAACATAAGGTAAATTCTCTTAATAAATCTTTACGTTGTTCTGGATGAAACAACTGAAAAAATTTTTTTAATTGAAAAGTTTGGCTAAAAATGTTGAAAATAACCTGTCGATAAGTTCCTGTTCTTATCTCATCTATTTTATAATTTAAAAAATTTTTTTGACAAAAATCTTTAAAAAAAATACCAATAACAGTTGGTTCCAAATCAATGAAAATTGCTCGAGGAACATGTTTACCTTTCAAAATAAAAATTAAATTTTAAAAATAATTCAAAAAATAAACCTGAAGGTGTTTCAGAGAAGAAAGTATTATATGAATGGTCTTCAATGCCAACACTTAAAAAAATATTTCAGAAAAATTAGTTGAAAAAATTATTCAACGTGTCATCCGCAGGCATTCGTCCATCAGGCTTAAAAAATAATTTTAAATTTTTAAAGTCAAAAAAAATAAAATTTTGCCTGTATTCCATGTTCTAGACAATAGAGTTCCCAACAAGCCTTAAAAAATATCAGAATTTTCATTTCAAAAAATTATTTTTACGTTTCCAATTTGAACTCCAGCTTGTCCAACATGAAGGGAAACAACCTCCCGCATTTTACCTCCAGCCGGCATTTTTTCAAAAAATTTTTTTTCTTATTTTAAAAATTTCTAAAAAAATATTTTTTTTCACCTAAAAAAGAATTAATATTAAAAATAAATTAGAATAAAGCGCATTTCCCCTTTCCTTTCTAAAAAAAAGAATGATATTTAAAAACACAAAAGGTTGGCAGCGGTAAGCGCGCAAAACAAAAGAGAAAGGTTTTTGGCTTCTCCCCCCTTATACACCCCTAACAACAAAAATTTTTTTCAATTGAAGGCTTTGTGCGCGTGTGATTATTTTGAGACAAGAAAAGGAAAAACAATAAAAAGACGTCGCCATGGAAATTTTTTAAAAACAAAAAGAAAAGATAAGTCAGTTTTTGGGTGAATTTTAATTGGTAATTTGTTAATAGGAGGAGGAAATGGGATTAAAAATTTTTTTGAAATTTTTTAAAACAAGATAGCCAAGTTCCAATGGCCGTTTAGGCGGGAAGGATCCCTCGAAGAGACAAAATTTTATATAATTTTCCCATCTGCCCCTCATTAACAAACGTGAAAACAATATGGAACTTTCAGGGATCCTTCTAACCCTCTAATACATAATCTAAAAAACTTAATCCTAAATACTATACTTAAAAATTTAAAAAATCTTAACAAAAATATTTACTCAAATCAACTAAAAAAATTAAAAAAAAACAAAATTGGTTTGGAAAAATAAACTCAAAATAAATAAATATTATTTTGCTTGTTTCAAAAAACCTTTTTATTTGGCATCCTTAACGTCTTCGTGTTTTCGTTTGCGATCAGACGATCTTCCACCTCCCTCCTTTTCAGATGTTGTTGATGAACTTGAAGAAGACTCAGAAACACGCAAAGGAAGGTCAAATTCTTGGTCAGCACCCAAATATGAATCACAAATAAAATATAATTTATAATTTGCTTTTTGTGAAGATATTGTTGGGACAAAATCAAGAACATGTTGTGCCTTCACATTTACTGTCAGTCTATCAAAATTTAAAAAATAAATACAAAAAAATTTTAAAAAATAAAAAAAACCTTTTAATTGAAAGCAATTGATTATTCAAAGGATCACCAACAACTAAATACCATCCTTCTTCCAAATTTTCTGGAACATAATTACGCGAATAAAATGGAACACGACCAGCAGGATAAGGATAACGAGGAAAGAATGGAGCAACAACTGGTGGTGCAAAACCATTTTCATCGTTTTCACGTTCAAGTTCTATTCGTATTTCAACTGGTTGTCCTCTATAAAAAATTAAAAAAAAAATTTTTTTTTAATTTTCAAAAAAATATTTAAATCATACATATTTGCTTTTTGACTAACAAGTTCATGTTTAACTTCAATACTTGGATAATTATTACAAAATATAGCAACATCTGTTAATTGTGCTTGATTCATTTGTAAAATTTCATCACGATCTTCATCATTTAATTCAAGTAATTCAAATATTGATTCAACTTTCTAAATAAAAAAATTTTTCAAAAATTTTCAAAAAATCCCAAGTCTCTACCAGAGATGAGTCAGGTTACCCGAAGCCCGATAACAAAAAATTTTGAAAACCATATAAAACAGGGCTCGCATCGACAAAATGCCACTCAAAAGTATCAAAATCTCGATTAAAAAGTATATAGGGAGAAAATTTGCAAAAAAAAGTAGTCTCAAAATTAAATTAGAAAATATTTATTCGTCCTCAAATCTTTCATATTCTTCTCCTAAATGAATCTTTTCTAATAATTTCTTGTTTCAACTGAGCATTTTATCAATTTCAATGCATCTTTTTTTGGGGCCGAAGGCGAAAATTTTGAGAATTTTGGAGGTCCTTAAGCCAGATTTCTTCCATTTTTTGCGCAACAGGCGAAAATTTTGAGAATTTTGGAGGTCCTTAAGCCAGATTTCTTCCATTTTTTGCGCAACAGGCGAAAATTTTGAGAATTTTGGAGGTCCTTAAGCCAGATTTCTTCCATTTTTTGCGCAACAGGCGAAAATTTTGAGAATTTTGGAGGTCCTTAAGCCAGATTTCTTCCATTTTTTGCGCAACAGGCGAAAATTTTGAGAATTTTGGAGGTCCTTAAGCCAGATTTCTTCCATTTTTTGCGCCGCAGGCGAAAATTTTGAGAATTTTGGAGGCCGTAAGCCAGAAAATTCACTTTTTCGCCCAATCCCTTCCCCAATTTCATTTTCAATCAAAAAAAAGTATATACTTTCAAAAAAGTATAAATTCAATTTCGTAAGCATGGAGGTCGATTTAAAAGTAGAATACTTTTAAAAAAGTAGGAATGCGAGCCCTGATATAAAACAATGGGTCAGGTTATCCGAAATCCAACCCAAAACCCACTCTTTTTCAAACCCAAAACATTCAGAAGGCAATTTTGAAACTCGGTCCAGAAACTAATCCAAAGCTTATCCTTACAGGCCCATCCCCTGTCTCTCCATAAAAAAACTTTAAAAAATAAAAACCTTTTCTTTACATCTTTCCAACAATTCAGGAGAACAATGAGGTAATTGTTTCATATAAGATTCATTTGAATACATTGCTTGAGATAACATTTGAGACAATTCCATTGCATGAATTGCTGGAGATAACCATCCATTACTTGACAAAACATCAACACACGCTTGTACCAATTTTACAGATTTTAATACAACCCAATCAGTATCCTTGCTTAATTCAGCAGTTAAATGAATACGAGATAAATGGGCATGAAGTAAAAGATTGACCTTAAAAGGAAAAAAATTATTGTTTCTCAGAAAAAAATTTTCAAAAAAATTTCTCAAAAAAAATTTTCAAAAAAATTTTTTCAAAAAATTTTCGAAATTTTTAAATTAACTTTATCAAAAAAATAAAACAAACTTTAACATGTGGACTATTCCATTTTTGATTTTTAACTTGTCCTTGAAGTCGATCAGCCAATTTTTTAAGTGTAACTTCCTCCTTGTGACGAACTGGTAATGATGAAAATTCTGTTGCATTTGAAATAATTTCAATTATTGCACGCAATTTGGTCTTTGGTTTTAATGAAAGGGAGAGCAATTCTAGAAAAGGAAAATTTTTTAATTGAATGAGTCATCTTTTTGATCAAAAAACTGATCATCTCTGGTCAGAAAAAATTTAAAAAAAAGTTTACTCAAGCTTACCAATAGTTGTGTAGCTAACATAATAATATGCAGCAATCATTCCCAAATTTAAAGGATTTGTATGCATTTCATCTTTCACAGTAATACAATTACTATTTTCCAAATCTTTTAATGTTGATTCAACCAAATCTGATAAACTATCTGATAAATGTCGATGACTTGTTCCCTTAAAATTGGAAAAAATATTTTAATAAAAAAATTAGGGAGCGGACCCCGATCCTTTGGAATCAAAAAAAGTTTAGGGTCTAGAATTATGATTTGACTAGGGCGGGATCGAAAAATCTTTTTGAATAGGAGTTAAAATTCGTGCCAAGGTTCAAGGTCAAAATTAGACGAAGTCGGAGTCCAGCCCTAAAGTTCAGGGCTTTCGATATCGGGGCCAGAATTTTTTTCGGAGAATGAAATTCGTGTCGGTGTTAGACATGGCCTGGGTCCACCCCTAAATATCAAACTAAAAAATTAATTTACATGTAAATTGTAATAATTTGGATTTTGTGTCATTCGACGATATAATAAAGTCCAAGTTAAATAATCTATCGCATCTTGTTTATTTTCAATAGTTTTTGTAACAATTTCAGCATTAAAATGATCATGTAAACAATGATCTAAATGAGATTCAACAGGTAAAGGTTCAAATAAAAATTTTTTATAAAAATCTTTTTTTGATGATTGACACATTAAAACACATTGACAAGCACCTTTAAAAATAATTTGAAAAAATTTCTTAAAAAAACTTTGAAAAAAACCTTCATCATTCCTTCTCTGTAAATTAGCTAACCCAACCATATGTAAAACATCACCAATTGGATAATCTTCATAAGCATTATGTTTTCCATTATAAAATTGGGTGTCCATTAAAATTACTAAAAATGCACGCATTTGAATTTGATAACACATTGTATATGGAACTATACAAATCTATAAATAAAAAAAAATTAAAATTAAAAAAAGCATAGGTTTATAAAAATGCAAAAAAATTTATGAAAAAAATCAGACAAAAATTCCGGAAAACCTGGAGAAAAGTTCCGAAAAAATTTATGAAAAATTCAGAAAACGAGTGTAATAGAAAAATCCAATAAAAAGTTTCTAAAAAATTCATAAAAAAATACACAAAAAAATTCTGAAAAACTTTTGAAAAAATCTAGAAACGAAAAATCCAAAAAATCCTTCCCCTAAAAAATTCAAAAACCCAAGAAAAAATATCAGCAAAAAATCATACCTGTATTGCTCCACTATTAAACAAATTTTGTACACTTTCAGAATCAAAATTAGTTGTTCCTTCATGTAAAAATCCAACACCTCTTTTTATTGTTTCTTTTAAAGATTCATCATTTAAACGTTCAACCAAATTTGCAAAAACATCTTCTTCTGGATTCATATGCAAAAATCGATTTTCTTGTCTATCAGCCAAAGCATATGTTAATAAATCTACTGCCAATGAACGTGTTAAACGACGATTTGGAACGAAGATTAAAACTGGTTTAGGTTCCAATTTTCCACCATGACGTAAAATTGCTGAATATACAGGACGTACCATTGCAGACAAACGTGTTGGGGTGTGCGAAAGATTAAAACCCTTTAAAGAAAAAATTTTGTGTAAAGAAGAATATCAATGCTAGAGATCGGAACTTGACTTTGATTCTTGATATTTCGAGGACTTTGAATCAAGGACATGACTCTTGACCCGGAACCAAGGTCAACGGAAAATCAAGGAAGACTGAAAAATGCCTTGATCTTGAATCTGAATCCAGAAAAGAGCAAGCTCTGGATCCAACCCCAAGCTGATCTCCAAATAATCTCTCAAAAAACTCACGTCAATACGCAAATCCAAAGCAACAGGTCTCGCATTTGGAGGGAAATTGTAATTCTGTTCACACCCAAGCCAATGTGTAATATCACGAGCATTCATTAAAGAAGTGGCCATAGCAACAATACGAAGTTTAGAATCTAATTGATTTCCCATATATCTCATTCTTGAACATACAACTTCAAGTACCGGCTTAAAAATAAAAATTTTCTCTCAAAAAATTTTAAAGAATAAGCAAACCCCATTAGATCCTCCAATCATATGTAAATTATCAACAATAAATAATTTAACTTTTTGTACATCAGAACGATTTTTCCAGCGACGAGAAATATTATCCCAACGTTCAGCTGTAGAAATAACAACATCAGCTCTTTTGAGTAGTTTGATATCAATAGAATTTTCACCAGTAAGTAAAACAACAGTTTTCTTTAATGGAACAGCAATTCGTTCAAGCCAGTCAAAATAAATCTTTTAAAGGAAGAAAAAAATTTTTAAATAAAAAATTAAAAAAAATACATTTTTAGCCAAATCATCCAAACTTGTGCAATAAACAGCTTTTCCATTTGGATTATTTTCAAAATGACGAAGTAATGCAAATTCAGCACAAACACTTTTTCCACTACCATTTGGTGCTCCAATAAAAACATTTTCGTTTGTTTCATAACATGTACGAAAAACTAAAGACTCGTAAAAATTTTAGAAAAAATTAAAAAATAAACCTTGTGTTTGAATTGGATTAAAATAATGAATTCCTCGCTTTTCAAATATTTGTTCAAATTGTGGATTATTTAATGCAGAAATTGGTAAAGGTTGCAAATCTAACAATTCTGTTGGTGGTGGATACTTTTCTGGCAAAATTAAATGACGAAAAGAGACAGGCAAAACAGTTTCACTTCCTAACCAACGATCAGAAACAATTCGAATAAAATAGAGGGGAGGGAGAGGATCAAAAACTGGAACAAACATTTTGACAATATGCTCTTCTGTGCAATATTTTCTGAAAATAAAAAAAAAGTTTAATCTAGAGGAACACACCTTCCCACGAAACCCAGACGATTCTAAGGTTACCCCATCCCCTGAAGATTTTTTGGAGGGACCCATATCAGGCTTTCTCCCAAACCAAAGGTCAATTCCCCCAAAGCACTCAACCCCAAAGGCCCTGAATGCTAGTTTAACCCTTAAAAAAATTAAATTTTCCAAACTGTTTAAGAAGAAAATATTCATGATGCAATATAATTTCTCCATTAACATCTTCAACAAATATCCAAAAACCTTCAGAACTTCCATGAATTTTTTCATCCCATTGAAAATCTGGTGTTATTGTTAATTCAACACGAAGTGTAGAACGCGTTATTGGCAATATTAATGTTGTCATATCCAATTTGGGAATCTTTAATAAGAAAAAAAATAAAATAAATCAAGGAAGCGCGGCGTAATACCAATGCTAAAATACCGAACCCCTGAAAAGATGCCAAAATACAAAATGTGTAAGGTTTCTTCAACAAAGGCAAAAATTTTGGCTATTCCGGCATGTCTTTTTGAGGGTTGGTATTTCGACGAATAGTATTATGACACCACGTTCTTCATTTGAAAACAATTAAAAAAAGAAACCTGTCTAATAAATTTATATAAAGGTTTTCCCATTTTTGGTACACGAAGTAATTCTCCCAATTGATGAACATCCAAATCATAAAGGCGATCAAATGGCAAATTCTTTTTATCTAAAGTTCGAACAACTTCTGTTGGTAATTTTTTGAATTGATGTAAAGGATTAAGTGATTGCCATTGTCTTGCATTAACCATTTTACATAATCCCAAAATTTTCTTTAAACAAAAAATTTCATAAAATAATCAAAAAATATTTTTTACCAAAGCAAGTTGTGCCCATCCTCTCCATAAAACAATTTCGAAAAGTGCTCTAAACAAACGACCAGCAGATTGCGAGATAAATACCATATCGCTTTGAAGAGCAAATCCTTCCAATTTAAGTTGAGAAATGTAAGCCTAAGAAAAAATATCAGCAAAATTAGTTTTATTATTATAAAAAAAACCTGTAAAAGCACATTAACTTTAGCACTAGGCTCATCAAGCGATTCTTTTATTGGAATTGGGACTGTTTCAGCCAATTTTTGTAATTCCAATTTTTCTTCTTCACGTACATGAATTTGTTTAAATTCAGAAGAAAGTGAAAATATTCGGAATAAATCAATTTCAGTACATGTATCTTTCAACAATTTATTGTAAGTATCCATACTTTCATATGTGCAATAATAATGTGAAGCTATACGCCCCAATTCTTGCGCCTATTATTTTAAAAAATTTATTTGCAAAAAATTTCTGGTAAAATCAAAACCTGTATTAAACCAGTTTTTCTATCATAACGAATCAAATTTCCTTTATCAAGTAATAAACAAGCAGTGTGGACCAAATCAGCACGAGGTTTTTCCAAAAGTTTATCATTTTCCTGAAAATTCAGAAAAAATTCTTCTATAAAATTCAAAATTCTTACATCAACTTGAATCCCATAAAGTGCTGGTGCTTTACACAATCTAACATATAAATATGTATAAGTTAACCATTCCATTGCCTCCGTAACATTTGTAACTGTTCCAAGAACAACTTCAGCATTTAATGTATCTGGCAATTTTGCAATCATTTGACTTTCAATTGGAAGCTATAAAATAAAAAATTTTCTAAGGAAGAAGAGAAATCCAGTTAGCTAGAACCATTAAAACATTTACCAGGTAAGAGTTTAATATAAGTCAACCGGTAAAGGACCGTTGGTCTTCTAGGTTGGTCTTCCGTTGGTCTTCTAGGTTGTTACTAGAAGACGTTGGTCTTCTAGTAAAAACCCCCATAGTTTAACTTATCTACATTCGTCTTACTAAATTATAAGGTTGAAAAAACAAACCTGCTGATTCATAAGTGACAAATAATATTGAAGTTCAGTATTATGTGTTATCAAAATTCCTTTTCCCAAAGCATTGTGTTGAGGACGACCAGCTCTTCCCATCATTTGCATTATATCTAATGGACCAATTTCTGTCCAACAACCTTTTTGTGGGTTATAAACTTGTGTTCCTTTTATGATGACTGTTTGTGCTGGTAAATTTACACCCCAGGCTAAAGTTGCTGTTGAAACAAGAACCTTTACAAAGAAAAATTTTTTTCGAAAATGCCAAAAATTAAAAACCTGAATATGTTTATCAGCAAAAAGGTCTTCTACCAAAGATCTATCCAATCTATTCATTCCAGCATGGTGAATAGCAAAACCATAAGGGAGTAAATCTTTCAAATCCATATTTTTAGCCTGTTCAGCTTCAGTGCGCAAAACTTCTGTAGAAGCACTTCCTTCACGAAGAAATTTACTTATTGAATCTCTTTCTATGCAAGCATCACGAATAGCTTTTGCTGTTTTTGCCGTTTCTTTACGTGAATGAACAAAAACGAGAATCTTAAAAATTTTTTTAATTTTTAGAGGCTTAAAAACTCAAAAAAAAACCTGACTACGTCCAGCACTTTCTAGTACTTTATCATAAATAATTTCATTCATTGCTTGATAACGTTTTAATGCCTTCTTTTCTGTTGCTCCAATATATTCTTGTTCAAGCGGTACAGGTCTATATGAATTGTCGAAAAAGAAAAGATCATCTGGTTCAACACGTATAAAACGTGCAACATCTTTATAATTGGGCAATGTAGCTGATAATCCAACTAAACGACAAGCATCACGTGTTTGTTCAATTTGTCTTATTGTTCTTGCTACTAAAGCTTCTAAAACTGGACCTCTTTCATCATGAAGTAAATGAATTTCATCAAAAATTATTAAAGTAACCAATTGTGTATATGAACGTTCTCCACCTTAATAAAGAACTTTAAGATTGATGCTGAAAAATCGTATCCTATTAGGAGTAGGAAGATCTCCGTGCCCATGTAATCAAAAGAGATGGACCGCATCCTCTGAAACACCGACTTTTCTCGTTTGAAATCCCATCCTAAGGAAATTTTGAAGAAATCACCCAAAAGATGTCCGACTTTTACTCAGCTCACATCAACCATGCCCAGTGGCAAACAAAAAAGCCTGAATTTGGTGAAAAGTCGATTTGGGGACATAATGGAGATCCGAATTAAAAAAATAAAAATCGTTCTACAAACCTTTACGTGTTATAATATCATATTTTTCTGGTGTACAAACAATTAATTGAGTTAACATGAATTGTTCTTTACTCATTTGAACATCACCAGTCATTTCACCGACCTTTTAAATTTAAAAAAATTTTTTAAAGCAACAAATTAATAAATTACTCACAGTAATTCCATAAGCTTCTTCCAATCTTTGTTTAAAACTTCCAACCATTTCTTGTACTAATGACCTCATTGGGGCAACATAAATACATTTAAATTCATCTTTTCTAATTGTTGTATCTTCATTCATATGTTTTGACATTTCACGTAAAATACAAAGTAAAGCAACATTTGTTTTTCCAGCGCCAGTTGGGGCACAAACTAACAAATTGTTGTCTGTATGTAAACCTTTTTTGTATATTGCTGATTGAATTCTATTTAATGTTCGATATCCTTTAAATGCTGGACGTGCCCATTTTGGTAAATCTTCAACGTCCATTAATTTCTAGAAAAGGAAAAATAAGCTCAAGTTTTGGAAATGGGTCTCATGAGCTTTTAAGCATTCCGACAGAATGTATGCGTTTACTCGGTGGCTTTGAGCAAGGCTATACCAAAATAAAATTCGAAAACTTATTGGGCACTTAGTTAGGCCACTCTTGGGACGTATATTTTTGGAATTTTGGAACTAATTTTGTAACGCCTAAAAGGTCATGAGACTCATAAAAGCTTATAAGACTCATGCTAAACTAAAGGCAAAAAATTCCTATTTAATAAAAAATTTAAAAGAAAACCTCATTTTCTCCAAAAGGTTTAGGCTTCAATGGAGGAACATAAATACTTTCATAACTCTTCTTTTGTGTTCTTTGTGATCCATCTGGCAAAACACATTTTTTGTTACTCATAGTATGTGATCCTTGTGCAAATGCCATATCTTCCAAATCATAAACTTTTCTTTGTTGTGTCCAACTTGCTGCTGCGACTGCTTCTTGTGCTGCTTCATTCATACGGCGTTGTTGGGCTGCTTTATCTCTTTTGCCACGTTCAGTCTGAAAGAAAATAGGGTCAAATAAGGTCTTCGGTAGAAAATAAGTCCAAAATAAAATGAATCCGTAAAATTAGGAGAACCTTATTCATGCTATTTGAGATGCAATGGGTCAGGCCCGTAGCCAGGGGGGGGGGTGAGGGGGGGAATTCCCCCCCCCCCCCCCCCGAAATGGGAAAAAGGAAAAAATTTGGGGAAGGGCTGGGGCAAAAAAGTGAATTTTTTTGGCCTACGGCCTCTGAAATTTAAAAAATTTTCGCCTGCGGCGCTAAAAAAGGAAGAAATCTGGCTTTTTAAGGTCCAAAATCCAAAAAATTTTCGCCTGCGGCGCTGAAAATCAAAATTTTGGCGCCTGCGGCGCCGAAAAAGTGAATTTTTTTGGCCTACGACCTTCTAAAATTAAAAAAATTTTCGCCTGCGGCGCTGAAAATAAAAATTTTTGGCGCCTTCGGCGCCAAAAATTTGGCGCAAAAAATTCCCCCCCCCCCCCCCCCCCCCCGAAAAAAAATCCTGGCTACGGGCCTGCAATGGGTATCCAGAAATTACTAGCCATTTCAACTATCCCGACCAGACATTTTTCTCGATCCAAAAAAATTTGAACCCACGGCCCGGTTGATTTTATTTAGATAGCCTCAAAAACTTTCCCGGTTAAAAACTCATGAATTTACCGCAACAATATCATCTTCTCTAACTTTTATCAACTCATCCAAAATATTTTTCAGTTCAGGTTTACTAGCCATTTCATTTTCTATAGCTTCTCTTTCCTCTCCTTGTGTTTGCTTTAATCTTGTACAATAATAAATCATATGACGATTTTGACAAAGTTGTTTAATAAAATCAAAATGGGTAAAGCCAAGTAATAAAACCAAAGAATTTTCACATGCACGGTCATCAACGGAATTCTTTAAAAATTAAAAAAAAATATATATATAATTCTTAAAAAATTTAAAAAAACCTTCAAAATATTCAAAACTTCTTGTGTTTTTTGTTGACTTTCATTAGGATCAAAATGTTTTGATAAATAACGTTTAACCCAATGAGCATCTATATCTCGCGGATTTAATTGTTTTTTCTTAAAAAAAGAAATTTTATTTAATTTAAAAAAGATTAGGTTCTGGTCTAGTTATTCTTATGTTATATGCGTCCTATGAATCTTATAAGTCAAATAAAGCAAGCCCAATACAAATTTATACCCCCATTCGGTAAGCAGACCTTAGGTTGTGTTAGGTACGACTACTCAAGTAATGGATTTTTATGACCATAGACGCAGCATTGGACACAAAAACCAGACCAAAGCCAAAAGTTCAAGTATCAAAAAAATTAGAAAAAAAACCTCTCCAATTCCATTAGCTTTTCCACCACCAGAACCCTCAGCAGTACGCAATGTTCCCTCATAAATAGCTTCAACACCAACATCTTCATCCTCACTTTTATCTTCTTTTAGTTCTGTTACCATTCGATCATCTTCTTCATCTGAATCAAAATGTACTGGAACACCTGCTGTTTCGTCAATATCATCCATCTATTTTTATAAAAAAATTTTTATTTAGTGGAATTTTTTAAAATTATTCAAGTTGAGTTGGCCAACTTAGGGTCTCTCCCTTGTTCAAAGTAAGGAACTTGTTCATTGGGACCTTTCCAAGGAGTATTTCTAAACTGGTTGTCGTACTTATCCAAAGTCCAATCTTCCGACAAGTAAATTAGATAAGAAGGAATAGTTGAAGCCTTCCATTTGCCCACCCGCCCCACAAAAAAGAACTTAAAAATCAGATTCCCGTTGCAAAAAAATGAACTATGAAAGGAAAATGTTTCCTAAAATTGTCCCTAAAACCCCCAATTTTATTAAAAATTAAATTTAAAAAAACTAACAATATCCCTCTTTTCATCTTCATCATCAGGATTAAAATCAGTAATCTTTTTAGCCAAATTAGTTAATAAAGCAAAACGTTCTTCTGTCAATTTTGTTGAAAATAAATCTTCCGCTTCCTTTTTCTTTTCTTTTTCCCGAATTGAATCAGATTTTAATATTAAAAGAATTTCATGTGAAGCCCCATGCAATATTTCTCGAGGTTGATCACCAATGATTTCTTGGATTAATGACAAAAAGACTTCAAAAGTATTGCGAGTTTCTTGAGTTCTAGGTTTGTAAATTCCAGCAATTCCTACTTCGTCTACTGCTGTTTTTTGTTCTCGAATGTCTTCACGATCGCGGGATTTTCTTAAAAAAGTAAATGAATAAATTGTAAAAAAGGGAAAAAGAAATCCTAGCGAAGTTAATTTCCTCAGAGAAAGAGAGAAATAACCTATTACCACGATAGATATCGAACCATCAACCTCCGGTTGATCAACAATTTTGAACCCTAAGACCAACCAACTAAACCAAGGAAACAATTACCACTACCAATTAAATTACCTTTCTTATAGAATACTTAAAGGCATAAAATCGTTAATCATTAGCTAAAACCCTCAAAACTTGTCTATGTCTTAACTCTAAAAATTTAATTCTTATGATACCCTTTAGAAGCCTTTTTCTCAGCTGGCACAGCAGTTCTTTTATATTTATCACCCATTTTTGATCCACGCAAAAGATCTTTGGTAAGCGGCATAACTTCTCCTGTAGGTTCATCCCTTGCTCTTCTATCAGTAAGATTGTAATCAACTGACAATACAAGGTTAGAATTTTGTCTATATTCATATTGCTGTGAACGAGCAATTTGGTCAGTCATTTTTTATCTGAAAAAAGAGAGGAAAAATGTGTCAAATAGAACGAAAAGAAAATAAAAGCGCGACAAGGAATAAATCAAATTTAGAGCCAAATACTTTTAGAAATTCAAAATTCTCCGTTTTAAACACCTAAAATGAAATCGCAATCAATCGCAAATCGAAAAAAAGCTCTAAAAATTCATTAAAACCCCTAAAAATCTTCAAAAAAAGCCCGAAAAACTGTAAAAAATTTGTACAAAACACTAACACACTCTTCTAAATACACACTATTTCTTCCATTTATTTCTCTAACCAACACTATTTCTCTTTTTCCTTTCTCTAGACAATTCACATTTTACACTAGAACTTAATACAAGACGTTTTGTAGCAAACATTTTCGTCACCCGTTTCCGTTTTAAAGCGAGACACATTAACTCATCTACAGTACCCAATTATCTCTCATTTGCATTTTTGACTGTAAAAATTCCTAGATTTTTAACACCTTAATAATACAATTATAAGTACATTTTTTACTCTATTCCAAATAGTCCAAGTAGTTAACTTTGTTTGCCCTATTAATTTTCAGATTCATGAATAATTATTAAAAAAAAGAATTTTTAAATGTAAATAACCTCCAAGAAACCCCCTCCCCCAGCAGATCGAGGGAAAAAACAACAAAAATATAAAAAATAAACATTTTAAGCTCCAGACAATTTAAAAAAACATGAAAATCTTTAAAATAAATTTTCTTTGAACTTTTCAAAATTAACTAAAAATTAATTTTTAAAACCCCCTTTAAAAGCCTCTTATTTTTTGTTGATTCTTTTGGAGGTGATCTTTTGGACTTGCCTTATTTAATGGAAATTTTCTAATTTTTTTTCTTTATCCCAAATTTGTTTTATTCCATTTTCAAATAAATAAATTAGTATATATTTGTGGCAATTTAATGAGTGTTAGATAAAAAAGGGGGGAAGCTTCTTTTAACGAAAAAAGTTGTTGGTTTTACACAGAATTGTTAAAAAGAAGGCAAATTTGTGACAATAATGTGTTGCATTAGGTAGAAAAAAATTAAATTTTTTTAATCCCTTAGAGGATTTGAAAAAGAAAAATACAAAGTTTTTAAAAGCTTTTCTTTCCCCCCAAAAAAATTTTTTTATATATTTTTGGTTTAAAAAAATATTGAGAAATTCTTCAAAATTATTTTTATTGTAACACATTAAAAATTTTAAAAATTTTGTTAGAAATTACCATAAAAAATTTTTTGCCAAAATTTTTGTAGAATATTTTTTTAAATAAATACTTTTTAAATAAATTAAATTAACTTTTCTTTTTCGGTATTTTTAAAGGTATCTAAGGTAATTTATGGCACACCCTTAAGAAGCATTAAGCCTTAAGAAGCATATATTAATAAAAAAAATTATTTTCAAACTATATTGGAAATAATTTATGTCAAAGATTTTTTAAATATGTAAATATTTTTTGGTTTCTTTAAAAGTAATTACTAAAATTTGCAAAAATTACTGCAATTTTTACGATAAAATGATGTCACAGTAATGTTTACTTATTTTCTCATTAAAAATTTTTTTCTGAAAAATAACCTAGACCCTTCCAAAAAAATTTTTTTCCAAATTATTTCTACCCAATAAAAGTAATTAATGCCTCTTTTTTTTATTTTTTATTTATTTGAGTGCCAGTCTTCTTATTTACATTTTTCTTGTAAAATAACAACAATTAAATAATGGGGGAAAAGTAGGGGGAATTAATAAACATAAAAAAACAAAAACCAATTTTTTTCTAACGGTTTTTAATGGCTTTTAAGGGTTGAGAGAAAGGAAGAAGAAGAGTTAGTCTAGTCTCAATCTCACTCATTCTTTCTCTAGAAAATTATTTTTTGGAATTTTTGGGAAAATAGAAGATCCAAGTCGTTTGGAGGACCTCTCCTCTCCCATCTTAACTTATCCACCCTCCAATCCCTCATTTACCTTATCTCAAAAAATCGACTTTTTTTTACAATGTCTTCATTCTAGTTTTTTTGGAAGGACCCCTTCCCCCTCCACACTTCATAATCCACCCATCCTGCAATACTTCACCTTTCCTCTTCCATAAACGTCGTCACACTTCTAGCCTTCCTTCTAGTTTTTTTGGAAGGATCCCTCCCTTCATACCCCATCCCCTCATAATCCTTCCCCTTCCTCCTCTTCCAAAAACGTCGTCAGACTTCCTTTTAATTTTTGGAAGGGATTTAGAATTTTTTAACACTTAAAAAATATTTTACACAACTTTTTTTCTTTTCCGCTTCCACTAATTTTAAATTTTTTATTTATTTTATAAAATACCCCACGCATTTTTCCTTTCCAAAAAAACGTCTAATCCTGTTAATCTCTTTTGCCCTCTTAACAAACTTTTTTTGGTGGTGGTCTAAGTGAAGTGTGGCTTTTAAAAATTCATAAAATTGAATTATTAAAATCCTTAAAGTTTAAAATATAAGGACTTCTGTGTGTGTTTTAAGCTTCGTTAGAAGATTTGCCAACAAAAATTTTCTTGTTTTTTAATATTAAATATCATGAGAATATTATCGCGTGACTTAAAAATCATCACATATTTGTGACAAACTTAAGCAAAAACAAATTTGTTTAGATGTTAAAAGTACTAATTTTTCTTTTAAAAAACGTGCCTGGAAACATTCTCAGAATTTTTTTCTTAATAAACAATGTTTGATTGGGGGACAACTTGAATATACCTATGAGAGAGCTCTTCGAAAGAGCTCTTCGATGCCAACGGTTATTGCTAACCCCTCAAACAACCTATAAACACCGAGACTGATCGTTTCCATTTTTCATTGCTTTATCTGTAGGGTTGGGGTTTTCGGACCAGACCGACGTTCGAGTCATCTTTTCGGCTTCATTTTTATCGGACCAGATCGAGTCTTTTTCAGGCCAAAGTTCGATGCCCAACTCGATCTTTCGGACTGGACCTCACCCCCAAACCCTATTTATCTGCTCTAAAATAGGAAAAATCTCCTTCAGCATTCTTACAAAATATTCTCAGGATTCACAATTTCCAAGAGCGTCATTTTTTGTTCCTAAAAAATTATTTTTGGAATCTCAAGTATTTTTTCAACATATCATTTTTTAATACAAACTTATATATTTTTAGACATTTTTATTAATAATTTAATCATTTTCCTTTTAACCTACTACTTCAAAAAAAATAATTTTTTCTACCTAAAAATAGAAAATAACACCCCCTAAAACCTTCCTATTCTTTAAAAAAATTTAATTTAAATATAGAAACTTGTAAGGAAATTAAAAAGTTCTTTGCTTCAATAAACTTGACACTCAAAAAATTCATTTAAAAAAAGACTCGTCACCTCCTTTTCTTGTAAAAGCAATAATTTTAATTTTCATTTTCCTTCAAGTATTCAACAAACTTTTAAAAGAAACTTAGTAGCCCCAAGTCTCCCTCTCACCCTTCCCTTTTCTAATTTTTTTAATCTCTCTTGGGACATTAGAATTTTTTCTCAAGTTTTTTTATTGGCAATAAATTACTACCTATATATAAATACAAAATTAAATTATCACTTGCTAAGAAAAAATTTTTTTTCATTTTTCAAATCTATACAACACCCCCAAACACACGAACAAACATTTTTCTGACGAGTTTTTACCCTTGATTCAATATATAGCCGAACTTCGTTATAGTATAACCCCAGGTATATAATTCTCTCTATTTAGTGTCTCCATTATTTAAGATGGTTGACCAGTAGAGGAAGAAGGAAGCTGAGGAAGACTCCAATTTAGTGTACCACTCATTTTAAGGGTACGTTTTTTTCAGACCCTTTAGGGGTACGTATTTTCAGACTATATAACGATGGTCGAATATATAGGAACCTATCAAAGGTATTTACATATAAGCCTCAAATTTTCATACAAGACCCTCCTTACTTCAAATTGTGTATCTTCATTTATATCTTCATGTACCTTCACTTTACTCTCACTTTCAAACGCACTCTTAAAATTTTTCAATAATTTTTTTAAACTTTAAAGACTCGTCTCTCTATAATTATTAAATTTTAAAAAATTAATTACACGCTTCTTCCGCTTCTTAACTAAAAATTTTCATAAAAGTGAGATGGCACAAATAATATTTAATACAATTATTGCAACACTAATTTTTAGTGCTTTTTTTATCAGTCGTTTTTCAAACGGACAACTTACTAATGATTTTGGGTAATCAAAAAAATCTTTAGAAAAATCAGAATCAGAAAAAATCAGAATTCAGAAATATCAGAATTAAGAAAATCAGAAGAATCAGACAAAAAAAAAACAATTTCAGAAATCAGAAATTTAAAAAATCAGAACAAATCAAAATCAGAATTTAAATCAGAAATTCATTTCAATTTTCCCCTAGTTCACAATTAATGTCCCTTCAAGATTTTGGTGATGATTACAATAATGCAATATTCGCAGACATTGATGGAGATAACGAAAATAGCTATGAGAGGTAATAATGAGAATAAAAAATTCTGATTTATCAGAATATTCTGATTTTTATTTAAAAAAATATTTTAATTTTTATAGTATGGCTAAACGAGCACCATTAGACCGATCAGCGTTAGTCAGGTATAATAAAACTGAAAAATAATATTTGCAAAAAAATTTTATAGATTCGGAAAGAGAGCTCCACTTGATCGGTCAGCATTAGTCAGGTAACAATAAAAAAATTTTTAATATAAAATCGAGACTTGAAAATATTAAAAATGTGATGAAATAACAGTCGAAGCTCTCTCTAAAGCATTGTTTCCCCTCCCACGTTTTATTGTTAGATTATTAAAATTCAGTCCAAAAATGACGTAATAGAAAGATTATAGGGATAATGAAAATAATTATGAGATAAATTATAGTGGATTTATCGGAGATGATATTCGAAGCTAACGCTTTATAACGCTCTAAAACGAGAAGTGACTTAATAGAGAGAGATTCCACTTATTCCGGAAAGATTAAAACACAGAATAATAATTTTCCGGAAACTTATTTAAATAATTTTAATTATTTAACAGATTTGGTAAAAGAGCTCCACTGGATCGAGCGGCTATGGTTAGGTAAGTAACGGAGAAAAAATATTTTTAATTAAAAAACCCCCTTGGATTTGCTTAAAATTTTCTTGAAGATTTGGAAAGCGTGCCCCACTCGATCGAGCAGCAATGGTCAGATTTGGAAAAAGAGCACCTTTTGATCGTTCTTCGATGGTTAGATTTGGAAAGAGGAAATAGAAAAACACAAAAAATAACATCTCTTTTTTAATGAAAAACGGAAGAAACGTGAAAAAGGCTTTAAAAAATTTTTTAGAAGGCGTGAGGCATTTTAATTTTTAAATTAAAAAAAGGCTGTTTTGATCTCCTCTCCTCATATATTAAATATATAATCAAATTTTAATATTTTAATATATAAATATGGTGTTTAATATAAATTTTTTATTTTTTAAAATTTTTGGATTATTGTTATAATGAGAACCCTAAAGTAGTATTACTTAGACGGATCCCCCAACCCAAATGATCAGCTAAATTTAAAAAGATGTCCATTAAAGCTAAGGCAACCAAATCACAACATTAATAGTGCAAATAAGCAAGTGGTGTCAGACAGTACAAAACTCAACCCATTCTCCAGTCATTAAACTTTCATTAAAACCGAAACTACAACGAACCCCTATTTCCTAAACTCCACTTTCACACCTTTTACCCTCTCCATTAGCAACAAATCCCACAAAACTACCTTATCCTGTTTATCCCATATCTCCAAGCTCGTACTAGACAAAACATGAACACATTCAGACCAAACATAACCATCTAGAAAATGACCATCCAGACAACAAAACCAAACATATACATAATCTCATCCTTTAAAATACTGTAAAAAAATCTCAAAAAATTTTAGAAAAAAATTCAACCGAAATTCCTAATTTAAAAACAAAACACTTAAAAAGTATTAATAAAAATAAAATATCATACAAACAAAAAAAAATTTTTTTTCAAATAAATTTTAATAAAACTAAAATATGGTCAAAAAACAAACAATTCAAAAAATTGTTTTCTTTATTCTATTCTCTTCCCCCTTCAATTTATTCATTACTTCCAATACTTCTTGTTGTTCTCTTTAAAACATCTGCCAATTTTCTTTTAGCATTTCCATTATTATTTCCACTAGAATTACGCCTTTCATCATTACTTGTATCAGAACTTCCTCCCCCTCCACCACTTGTTGTTGTATTCGTTGAAAAACGTGAAATAGCTTCACGTAATGTAAAAATTTTTTCAGCAATTAATCCAATATATAATTCTTTTGATTTTGAATTTACAAACAAATCATTTTCCGTTTCAAAAGAAAAATTGACAGATTTTTTTATATAATCAACACGTGATGGATAAGCTTTATTATAATCATCAATACATTTTTGTGTTACTTCTGGACATAAAGCTTGGAAGATTTTTAAAACAAGTTGTTTACGTAAATCTCCACTAACAACAGAATGCCAATCCTAAGAAAGAAAAAAATAATTTTTTTTTTCGAACTCTTCATTTTTATAGATTCACTATTTTATAAATATCCCCAATATTTTAAGACACTAAAAAACCTTTCCTTTACCCGTATATGTATACCTAACTTTCAATAGCCACAATTTTGGTCCAATCATTGTGAACCAAAAGGATATCACTTATAGCATTAGGAATCGGAGCCTCGCAATAGAAGGTCATCATCTTTTTTTTACTGTCACAATAAAAAAGATGTTAGCCCCTTGTTTTTTACAATTGTATAGGGGTGAAGGTAAAAAGAGTTCCTAAACTATGTATATACCTGCATACCTTATTTAATGCCCCTTGATTATAAGATAAATTTCACTTCATCACGGGTGAGCTTATAATTGAGGCAAATAAAAAAAATCACAAAAAAATTTTAAACAAAAACAAACCCCAAATTCTTTCGGAGTAAAAAATGCAGGTCTACGTTGTCCAAGAAATTTGCTTGAATCAGGATTAGATTTTAAAATATTTAATTCTTCTTTAATAGATTCAATTTCTTCTTCTTTTGTACGTTTCTTTTGTTCAACATTTTGTGGCAATATTCGATTAATAATCTAAACAGAAAAAAAAATTTCAGAAAAATTTAAATTAAAATAAAAACCTCTCCAACATCTTCCCTCTCCTTTTTTACTTCAACAGAAGGTAAATTCACCAAACTTTTTTGTTCAGAAGAAGGAATATTGGAAAGTAATTTTGGTTTCTGTTGTTGTTGCTGTTTCTGTGGTGGTTTTTGTTGTGATTTTGCTGAAGTTCTAAGAGTCGTTTTATTGTCAACAACTTTTGATTTTTTAGGTTTACTAAGAGCAAAAACTGTTGGTTGATATGATGAAATTTCATTAGATTGTTGAAGTTCTTAAAAAATTTTTTGTAATTTAAAAGCCCTTTAGAAATTTGATAATTAGGGAATATTTCGCATAAAAATTAAAAATGGTTATGAGAAGAGAAGAAGGAAGGAAAAAGAATATCTGCGGAGTTATGGGGAGATACTGCCTTATTATTAGAACAAAAAAATTTCTTTCAAACTTTTTTCGCTTCGTTGTAAGTCAGATGACGATTTGTTTGTATTTGTAATAGTTTTGCTTAAGATACGTCTTGGAACAACAACTTCCATTTTTGGGACGACTGGAGGTTGTTGTTTTTGTTGTTGCATATTTTGATTAGAAGCAACATTAAAATTAGTATTTCCCATTTGTTGTTGGCCAACATTCCCATTTGAATTATTATTAATATTTTTATTAGAATTAGAAGCCATTAAAGTCTTTAATTGTTTCATTAATTCCTCATGTTCTCTTCGACTTTCATTAAATGCCCAAATTAATTCACGATTAGCACTTATTAAACTTTGAATTTGTTGTTGTTGCTCCTTTAAGAAATGATGGGAATAAATTTTTATCAAAATTTTTCGAATTGGAAAAAACCGTCCATAGTTTAGCAAGAGGCTCAAATGGGTCAAAAATGAACTTGGTCCTATAATAGTTTTTCAATTTTAAGAGACCCATATCACAAGTATTTACGAACCCAAAAAGCGAGACAAATTGAAAGAATTGACCCAAGTTTAGTGGGTCCTTGACTAAATTAGATCCAGAAAATCAAAGACACCCAAAAAATGACAAAAGAAACCTGATTTAAACGTTTCAAGGAAGCAACTTCTTTAGCCAACTTTTCATTTTGACGTAATAAAACAACTACATGTTGTGCCTGTTGAACTGTTTGCATTTGTGACTGTTGATTTGAATATCCAAAAGTACTTGGCGGTTTAGACATTGGTTGAGGAATTGAATGCCCAAATTTAACGATAGGTGGAGGATGTGAAGAAAAATGAGAAGAAGATGACAATGACGAAGAAGAATTTGGAACTAATTAAGAAAAAAATTTTTTAAATTTTTCTAAAAAACCAAACCGGTCGAATCCATGTTTTGTTGTTGAGATGATGAAGATTGTGATGGAAGAGGAGGATGAGGAGTAAAATTATCTGGTTGCTGTTGTTGTTGAGGTTTATTAGCAGAATGAACTTGACGAGGTTGTTCTTTAGCCCAAGAAATCTTTTTTGGATTAGAAGAAGTTTGCAATGAAGTAGAGGCTAATGAATCATCCGATTCCTTGAAATAATTTAAATTTAGTGTCAAAAAACTTGTGAAAAAATGTCAAAAAACTTGTGCGGTTTATGTACACAACCCAATTTTATCGCAAGCTCAAAAATGGTTAAAGTAAACCTATTAGAGTCGGTGAGGTGCTTGTGCAAACTCGTCAAGCGTCTCACTTGAGCAGACGGTTGCTCAGTTTTGTCAAGATAGCCCCCATTCCTATTTGCGAATAAATGGGTCATATACATACAATGACAAAAACAAATACACTTAAAGACAAACCCTCTTCCTTTTAGACTCTCCTCCAAAACGTGGTGGAGGCGAAGGAGTATACAAACGACGGGCACGGTTTCGCTTTGGACGTTGCTGACTAATGCTTGAATTAAATGTTCCTCCTCCATTAGATTGGGTCAATGTGTTTGTAGTTGCTTGAGGAACAGTTTGAGTCAGCAAATTAGTGGAAGCCTAAACAGCACGAAAATAAAGTGTCCAAAAAATAATTAAAAATAACCTTTTGTTCTTCAATTTCCTCAACATCTTGATGTTCTTTTTTTATTTCATCAAAGTCAATAAATTCCATAATTTTAAAACTTTGTCTTTCTCCACTAGAACTTTTACGAGAAGAATAATCATCTTCCTTCACATTGTCCGTTGTTTCCTCCTCCTCTTCTTCAATTTCTAAATTGTTCTCCACATCTTCCTCTTCCTTTTCTTCTTCAACAAATTTTTCATCCTCTACATTATCTTCCCTTTTTATTTCAATCTCTTCACATTCTTCTTCCTCATCTTCTCTTTCTTCATTTTGCTCCTCCTCTTCATTATGCTCTTCTTCTTCTTTTTGTCCATCCTTTACTTCTCCCACCTTTTCCTCTTCGTCCAATTTTTCTTCATCTTCCTTCTTTTCCTCCTCTTCTTCTTCAAATATTTCCCCTTCCTCCCCATCCTCCTCCTTTTCTTCTTCCTCTTTTTGTCTTCCATTTACTTCTTCAAATCTTCCTTCTCCTCCTCCTTCCACAAATCTTTCCTCTTCTTCTCCAGGTTTTTTATTTCCTTCTTCTCCTATCTTCTTACCCTCATTGTCAGCATCCTCTTCACAAACCTTGTCAACAACTTTGTTTACAATTTCTTCCATTAAAATAAAATTTTTATTTAAACGTCTGAAACCTTTAAAAATCTAGGAAAAAAATTTAAAAATTAGAAAAAGTAAAAATTTTAGATTAAAAAAACTTGAAGTAAAATCAAGAAAAAACAACAGAAATATAATTTATCCTTAAAAAATTTTACATATTTTTTAACACAATATTTTTTTAAATTAAAAAAAACCTTTAAAATATCACACAGCAAAAAAAACTCAAGTTAAAACTAAACGATCAAATTCTTGTTCCTTTGCAATAAAATCTTTTGTCCAAATATGTGTTGGATGATCCTGTTTTAGTTGATTCATATAACGATTTGAAACCTTTTAAAAACAAATTTAGAATAAAAAATCAATTAAAAACCTCAATAGGCTTTCCTAAGAAATGAGCAATAACAAAAAGTCCAATCAAAGCTTCAGGATTGTTAGGATCACGTTGTTGGGCATCCTTAAAAAATTCAAATGTTAAAATGTGAGAACTTAGTGTGTGAGATGAGAACTTATGAGAACTTAGTGTCGGGCTATCTCCCTGCCCGGACAATTCACGGAATACCAAATCACAAACGACCAAAACACGGAATAATTTAAAAATTGGAATGTTTTGAAAAATCTGAATATTTTTAAAAAATTGGTCGTTCCGTGGTTGGAATTCCTCAGGTAAGCCCCCACAACTACGAAAATTTAAGGGTCTTCGTTTGGTCAACCCAATCAAGAAATCTTCTTTAAAAAATAAAAATACCATAAGCAATTTTTCAGCATCTTCATATTTTTGTTGCTGTATAAGACATGAAGATTGAGACACTAGCAATGTTGGAGTTGCTCCGTATTTGTCAACCATTTCCTATATAAATTTTGAAAAAAAAGTCTTAATAAAAAATCAAACTTGGAAAATGTAGAATGCATCCTTGATCTTGTCTTTTCCCTGAAAAAAATTAATTGATAAAAAATATTTCAAAATTTTAAAATAACAGTCGTTAGGGGTTAATGTGATTTTTTTAACTATTTTGGAATTGAGTAAAGTTTTGGGTTTTTACAAAAAGTACCCCGTCTTAATTCTAACTTTGATAGTCCCAAATATTTTTAAACTAACATAAAAATAATATTAAAAAATAGGACAAATAAATCGTTATTTAAACACGCTCACTATTATTTTTGTCACATGACGCAACCCATTAAAAAAGGACATAAAATGCAGGTTGCGTAATTGATTACTTTTACTATAGTATTACTAAAAACATGACCTTCTACATGAATAATTGAAATAAAACAAACCATAGCCATATAAACCCAAGCAGTTGCCAATTGTACAATAGTTGCATCTTCATCAACTTCTTGCATTTTTTTCAATTCTGCCAAAGCTAAATCAATTCGCCACAATTTTAAAAGGCATTGTATTTTCATTGATAAACACTCAAGAGAAGTTTGATCAGAAATACGGCTAATAAAGCGAAGAGCATTTTCAGCATCCTGAAATTTTGAAATTTCTAAAAATTCTAAAAAAAAACGAACATCTTCCTGAAGAAATATTGTAGCATTTATTAAGTTGACATATTCATTTCCTTCAGAGTCTACCTGTTCGAGTTCACTGGTAACTTGGCGAATAATTTCAGATCTGAATAACAGACGATAGATCAGAAAATTTTTTGAGAAACTTATCGCTTACGTATCATTTTTTTCTCACGCACATTTTTCTATGAATGTAAAGAATGGTCAGACTTACCTTTTAAAAAAAAATTAATCCTTATGGTTGCTTGTGGTAAAATACATAAGGGGAATTGGGAAGTAAGCCGGAACATTCTGCACACTTATAGGAAAAAATTTGAAAGAAAAAAGGGACATATAAACGATAATTTTACCAAAATCAAACCTTTTTTCACCATTATTAAAATATTCAGCAAGTCGACGTAGAGCAACAAGTTCAGGTCCAGAATTTGAATTAATTTCAGACAACGGAATTGAAGATTTTTTCAATGCAATATAGGCACGATAAAGAAAATAATCTTTTTTTAAGCGTTCCTCGTCTGTTTTACAGTTTACAATCTGGAAAATTCATTTTTAAAATAAAAATAGAAAAAACAAACTTGTGCTTCATTTATACATTGTTGATATGCTCCAAGATAATAATTATTTCGAACATCAAAAAGTGAATCAACCATCTTCTTCTAAACACAAATTTATATTTAATAATAAAATAGCCAACTAAAAATACATATTTTGCTAAAAAAAGAAAAGTTATAAAGGAAGGTTAAAAAGAAAGCGGATTTGTAATATAAAATCAATAAAGCAACGCAGGAAAAGTACCAAAACGCCAATTTTATTTTTCATTTTATTCTCTCACTTACTTTATCTCTAAATGCGCCTAACTTTTTTTGTGCCTCTAATATTGGGGAATCTTTTAGTAAAAACAACCCAGAACCCTCCCAAAAAATAAAAATAATAAAATATTTTGAGTACAAAAACTCTTTCACAAAAAATCCTTTCAATTTAATAAATTTTTAAAATTTATTTGGTATGAGATATATATTAAATATATAAATTTAAAAATATATGTAAAATTGTCAAAATCTGATGAGATATCAAAATATATATGATGCATGTTAAAATATATATGTAGTGATCAAAATATAAAAATATGTAAAATAAGGTTAATAGATTAGCGAAACTCCCAACCGAAATTTTCTTTAAGAAATATTTTTGGTATTGTTAAGAGGAGTAATAAAATAAAGAGATAATAAAGCTTGGAGCTGAAACAGAAAAAACCCCAGAAAAAATTTTTACATAATCAAAACCAAGCCTTATAATATAGTCTGGGTAGATATTATTACATTTGTGGGGGATGTGGAGGATAAAAGCTCGGATGATTTTGGAAAGATGAAAAATTATTATTTCGAATTTGACCAAAACTATTGTTATTCCAAACTTGTTGCTGCTGCTGTTGTTGTTGCATCATCATTGCTGATGCTGAAGTATTACTATTTCCTGGAATTCCTCCATTATTTATTCCTCCACCTCCACCATTAGCCATATAAGAATTTAAAAAATCAGCATACGGAAAATTAGCAGCATAATTAGCTGTTGGTTGTTGCTGCTGTTGATGGAATTTTGCAGCCTGCATTTGCCATGCTTGCCAAGCTTGTTGTTGATTGTACATGTATTGATTCATTTGTCCAATATTGTTAGTATTTTGATTAATTGACCCACCAGCAATATAAGGATATTGTTGTTGTTGCTGTTGATAATAATTAGCAAAATGTGCAGCTTGTGCTGCCATATTTACAGCCGCCCATTGTTGTTGAAATACGGGATCTTTGAAAAAAAATTTTTCAATTGATAAAGACTTAATAATAAAAAAAAACCTGTCACATTTGGCATAGATGAAGTTGAAGGTATAATAGCAGCAGCATTCTGTTGATCCTGTCTTTGAACATACTGTTGATGCTGTTGAGATTGCTGTTGTTTTTGAGAACGCTAAAAAATTTAAAGAAAATTATGAATAAAGTTAAGTCAAAATAAAACCTTTTTATCAGAACTAGATTTCCCATCTTTCCCTTTAGACTTTTTCTTTTTATCAGTTGATGATTCTGTAGACATATTTGTTGTAGTATTAGATTGTGATTGAGATTGCTGTATTTTTGATTGTTGCTGTAAAAATTGTTGTTGTTGCTGGATTTGTTGTTGTTGATCATATGGCATATCTAATAAAAAAAATTTTTTAAGCCAAGGTTATTTTAAAGGCAAAGATCAGACCTAACCGAGGAAGGCCCGTAGCCAGAATTTTTTTCGGAAGGGGGCCAAAAGGGAATTTAGAAGGCTATTTCGGGGAGAGAGAGTGGGGGATCCCCCCGCTATCCTTCTGGCTACGGGCTTGAATCAGATCTTGAACAAAAATCAACGAGATTTTTCGATATATCGTGTAATCTGACCCTAAGTAAAAAAAATTTTAAACCAAAAAATTGTGTAGTATTAGATGATTGAACATTACTCATAAACTGCTTTTGTTGTTGATGCTGTGGAGGTTGAAGAAAAGGTTGTTGTTGTTGTTGTGTTTCCATCATTTGAGGTTGTTGAAATGTTGGTGATAGCTAAAAATTATCAGAAAATTAATTTGAAAAAAAAAATTTAAAAAAATACATTAGCTTTGCTTGGAAGAATTGAAGGAAGTGAAATTTCAGGTGTACGATTTAATAATGGTTGTTGTATCGTATTGAAATTATTAACAACCATAGCTTCTCTTGCACAAATTGAAGTTTGTGCTGCTCCACCACTAAAACTGCTTGTTCTTTGTAATTTATTAGCAGTTGAAGGACTACAAAATTCAACATTTGATTCTGACCGAACACGAATTTGAGGACTATGTTGATCGTCAATTTGTTGGTTATCATGTAGAATATTGACAGGTTTGCTTACTTTTAGCTTAAAAATTAGAAAAAAATCAAATAAAAAATTTTTCCAAACCAAATCTTTTTGAAGTATTAGAGTAAAACTATCACTTTCATCATGGATTTGTTCACAAGAAATGTTATTATTATATTGTATCATGTCTCCACAACCACCAGAAGATCCGGAAGATGATGAAGTATTTTGTAATCCTTCATTAATTGTTGAATTATTATGGCTAGCCTCAAAAGTTTTATTAAAAGAATCATTTGTAGTTGAGGTTAAAGATGTTGTTGTTGTTGTTATTAAAGTTTTCATAGTATTCACAGATTGCTGATTATTAGAAGATGAGGAAGTCAAATTTTCAGAATTATGAGCTTGAGGTGATAACATTGGTGGAGCGTCATCTTCAACTAGTTCATCCTCACCAAAACGACAAATATTTTCAGCTGGAGAAATGTGACGTTCAGCAGCGTCTAATGCTGGCATTTCGACTGTAGCTACATCAGATGGTGAACAAGATTTTTGTTGAAAATCAACTATAAATTAATATGGAAAAAATAAAAATTAAAAACAAACTTCGTATTGATGGAATTTTCAATGTTCCCGAGGATGTCGACTTTTTATCATTAACTGTCAAGCTTTTTAATCCATTATCCAAATTTCTATCACTATTGACATTTTCCTCCATAACATTTAAACTTTGTGAAAATTCTCCTCCAACAACTTCTGTTGATAAATGTTGTTGTTGTTCACCACTGTTTAAACTTTGTAATTGTTCAACTGTTGGAGGTTCATCCAATAATTCCTCATCTGCTTCTTCCATTGGATGTGCAGTAATAAGAACTGGAGCTTTATAACTTGAAATACCAACAGTAGAAAATGAAGTAGCATTATCAATATCATCGTTATCAGGCTCTCCACCCATATTAATTGTGTCAGGTTCTCCTATAATTCAAAAAATTTTGTTAAAAATTAAAAAAATCTCTTAGCAAACCTCCCATATTAATCAAATTTTCATGTTCCTTTAAAGGAGGTAATCTATCTCCTAATGGTTGTGGACTAACAGAAGAACAAAAAGAACGTTCTTCTTCTTCATCATTATCATCGTTTTCTTCCTCTGCTGAAGTCTCATTGTTATACTCACTTCGTTGAAACGTTGATTTTTTCTCCTTCTTTTCACTTAAAATTAACACATCAGAATCCTTTTTAATTCTTTCTGAATCACATCCAGAAGAAGAGCTTTCGTCATCAGAAGATGTAGAAGGAGAACTATTTCCTCTTCTTCTTTGAATACCACCATCACGCATTTTTCTTTTCAACAAAAATTTTCTTCTTTTAGGTAATGGTGGCGTTGTTGGTGAATAATGGTGGGATGAAATGTCAGTTTCTTCAGATTCAACTTGTTTCTTTAAAAAATGATATGAAAAAGGGGAGCGCGCCGTAATACCAAACTCCCAAAATCTGTCAAAATAACAAACTGTGTCAGCGTGTTTGGTATTTTACCAAACTGTGTCATACCAAACTGTGTCATGGTTGTTGACAAACAAGATTTTTGTTTTCCGGTGTGGTTTTTGGGGGGTTTGTATTTCGGAGCTTGGTATTATAGCAACATGGCCATACAAAACAGTAAAATTTGAAAATGTTTAACCTTTTTGTCATCATTATTATCAACCAATTTCATCCTAACAGTCCCATCATTTTCACTATCAGTTGTTTCAACAGTCTTCTTATTTTTTTCTTCTTGATCAGACAAATTTAATTTTGCTGTTGCTGATTCTTTATCACAAATTAAATTTGTATTGGAGTTAACTTGCGGTGAAGAAACTACACATCTATTTGAAGAAATATTTTGTGAAGAATTTGATGGAGTTATTGATGATTGAGGTAAACTAACAGTTCTATTTAAATTTTGGTTCAATCTTCTTTTATTTTGTGGAATTTTTCCTTCATCATCATCATCGGTTGATGACGAACCAATATTTTTATGATGTTTTTCTGTTTCATTTTTACAACTAGCAACTTAAAAAATAAAATTCAATTTTTACTATTAATTACCAAGAAAAAACCTTTTCTCACAGTCTTTCCCCTTTTTCGAACATTTGACGAAGAGCCTTCTTCAATATCTACTTCAGTTTCAGATGACATTAAATCCCTTGATTTGATACTACTTGTTCTTCCACTCGCTCCTTTATTTTTTGTACTCTTTCTTCCCCTACCAACAGGAGTCCTTTTATTTGCAGTAGTATTAGCTCTTTTTAATGTTTTATGTGCTCCTCTTCCAGTAGAAGCAGGAATGGTCTAAAATCAAGAAAAAAATCACTCAGAAAAAATTTCCTCCAAACCTTTTTATTTTTTAAATCACTTGTTTGAACAGTATGTACCATCAAAACTTCATCATCCAAACCATCTTTTATTGGAGTAACAGGCAATGTCGTAATTAAAGGTGATTGAACACGCAAATCTTTTGAAGGGCTGTAAATTTTAGGTTCCCACTAAAAATTGAAAAAAATTAAATTTAAAAAACAAAATCATTTACAATTAATTTGCTTTCATCAAGTAAAATTCTCTTTTTGGTCTCTCTTGCTTTTCTATGTGCAGCAATAGCAGCTCTGTCCAGAACAATGGATGTCCTAAAAATTAATAGAGAGTAATAAAATTAAAATTAATAAAAGTAAGGTAGCTCCCCATCCACAGACCCAAAAGATCAGTTTGAGCTTTTTATAAAAGCGCATCTGTCAGATTTATCCCCACAGCACCCACCTTAATAGACTGCCCATGCTATAATGATAGATAATTGGGAGCACGACCAAAAGACAACCCCCGACTTGCCCTCCCAGGCAAACTCCGACCCATAACATTCCCTACTCCGAAGAGTCGGAGAGTTACTCATAAACAAAAAAATACTTTGAATCTTTTGTTGGAAGCATCAAATTTTCTGCCAGTGTTTCAGCAATATCATTAGGTGAAATTCCCGTTAAATTCGAGATTTCTAAAAGAATCTTAAAAATAAATCTAAACTCAAACAAACCGATTAAAGATATTTTATCTTTAAAATCATCATCTTCTTCATTTTTGTAACGTTCACAGAAAAAATCAAAAATTTTGTAAAGCCAATAATTATGATAAGCAAATTTTCCCAAATCAGATAAAGGCCTTTCTGGACTTCCAATTAATCCTTCACGTTTAGAAAGTGCATAACTAAATTCAATAAGAAAACGGCCAAAACCACGTCCTTGATAGCAAGGTAAAGTTACAATACATGCCAAATTGTATTTTTGATGACTAAATTTTTCCTGAACGGATAAATATTAAAAATTATTTTTAAAAATAAAATGAATACTTTAGAGAAATAACCAACAAAATGACAACCAGTTTCATCATTTAACGTTAACACATAAAATAAAAATGGTTCAACATCAAAATATCTTTAAAAATAAAATATTTAATTAAAAAACGATCAAAAATTTCCTTACAAAGTTTTGTGATCAATAAATAATTTAGCCAGCAAACACAAATTACGACAGTAAACTCTTGCCAAATTTCCATCAACTTAAAAAAAATTCTTAGAAGTTTAATCTTATTAAAAAACCTTCAAATACTGAAAAATCATTATCACGATAAATTTCATTCCCAGGAGGATAACGTTGTTTGCATTTTCTCATATGGCAACTAGGAACTGATAAATACATTAAACAGGCATCACAAATGTTTAGGACCTATAAATTATTAAATAAAAAAATAATACTTAAAAAGCAACAAACAGGCAAACAAGCATATTCTTGAGGATATGGAGCAGAAAACCATGTATCAATCTCATAACAGTGAATTCGTATTTTTGGTGGAAAAATCGATTTATCATCCATTTTTAATGCTGTATTAGCCAATTCAAGATCCTTAAAATTTTTTTAAATAAACTCAAAAAGACATTTAAAAACCTTTAAAATATGTCGTCTAGCCTGTTCAAAAAGATGACGATCTTCATCAGTAATTTTGGGTAAAATATCATTTTTAATGGCTTTAGTAGAAGAGATTGAAGATTTTAATGGCCTTGTATTTTCTCTGAAAAAATAATTTTTAATTAAAACAAATTATTTTATTAATTACTGAGTTTTCAGAGAAGCACCAGATGAGATTTTAAGAAATGATGAAATTGGTTGTTTCAATTGTTTACGAGAATCTCGACTTCCTATAAATCAAAAAATTGAAATCTTACAAATTTAAGTCTTAAAAACCTTTGTATGCTCTCTTAATAAGTTGGGCAGATTTTATGGCAGCTGATTTATTCTCACGTCTTTCAAGCACCTTTTTTTGCTTATTTACCGGTTTATGAATTTTGTTGATTGTAGGAGCTGTAACTTCATCCGTTGGCTGTAAAACCACCTTAAATCAGAGAAAAATTGAATACTCTAAAAAATATTTTACCTTTTGAGATTCGTCTTCCTCCATCCCATCTGATTCGCAAATTTTGGCTAAAAAGAGGTTGAAATTAAAATTAAAGATTCAAAAAACCATGTTCAGATGAAGCCGTTTTTGGTCTAGTAAAATCACCACCTTTAGACAACTGCCAATATTCTCCCTCTTTGTGTAGTCTTCTCTTATCTGGATTTGGAGTGAAATACTTGGTTAACGCGTCTTCTAAACGATCACGATGGTGAGGAGATTTGGGCGAGATATGGCTGCTAATACTGTTAGCTGAAAAATAAAAATAAGAGGTAGGAACAATTTAAAATAATACTTCTAGAACTCTTTGACTCGCTCCTCGAGACCATTTTGTTGGGAATGTTGTCAACATCAATTTCCAAATGCTGCAAAGGAAATTATATTCAAAAACAGACAACATTTAAATAAACCTGATCTAGCCCTACTTTGTCAAAAATATACGACTTAAATATAAAAAAACCTGATCTATCCCAATTTTGAAACTGTGGGCACGAGAACGACGCATATCAGAAGGTGTAAAAAATTTGGAAAGGGAATCTTGTAATCCTTTCAATTCGCCTCGAACAGCACTTTTAGGCCTAAAAATTAAGTAATATCATTAAAACAAGAAGAAAGTCTTACATCTTCTTGTCATGATGAGTTTGACGCTGCTCAGTTGCTGAATGTCGTCGAGGATTAACTCCGCTATTACTTGTTGAAGGTGATACATCCTCAATCTCGTCAATTATTTTATGTTTTTTGGGCATAATTTAGTCAAAAAAAGGTGATAATTTAAGAATAGGATTAAGTAATCTGAAAAGCAAAAATAGTCAAACCAGAACAGTTAAAATAAGATCTCTCAGGAAGACTCAAAAAAGCCGTGTAAAGACTCGAAAAACTTTGTCTATTTCTCTGACTACACTATTTTTTAAAACAATCGATAAAAACAGAATGCCAGAAAATTTGAAATTAGACAAAGAAGAGGATATGCGAGTCCTGGAAATCTGTGATCCGGATGTTCTCCTTCCCCTCAAAACCTTTCTCCAACAAAGCATTTTGTGTTCCTCCATCGTCCATTGAATGTTGACAACCATCTTCCTGTATAAAAAGTTAAAATCTAAAAATTAATTAAAAAAGGAAACAAGACAAGGACAAAACTGGACAAGGACAAAAAATGGAGAGGAGCAAAGCGCCGCAAGCATTTTTAATTTTTGCATTTTTTAAATTTTTCAATTGAGATTTTAAGCTTACCAAGAAGGTTGAAGTTGTTGAAGTGCCACCATGTAGACGAGTTGACGACCACCACACCTAACTGTAAAATCCCCCCACCCAATTTTCCCCCAAATTAAAAAACACCAAAAACCACACCAATGCCATACATTGCTCCATCCATTGTCCAAGCAGCTCCCAACCATGTTGACATCTTGAAGAACAAATTGATTTCTAGAAGAAAAAACAAAAAATAAACCGTAGAGCACAGCTAGATGAACTTAAAATTTTCAAAATTTTTCAAAAAAGAGGTCAAAATTAACCACAATTGAAGATCATCATTTGGCCATTGCTCTGCCCAGTGCCGTAGACGAACAACTTGCTAAAAATCACCTCACCGTTTAATTATTTTATTTTATAAAATTTATTTAAAAAACAACCACACCCACAAGCCAACCATTCCATACAGGGCCAAGCAATCCTTTGTCCATGTTGAGCATGAAGAACATGAAGACCCTGAATTTTCAGAAATTAGAAAAAAAATTTAAAAATAAAAACAGTCGAACCACCACCACCATCTGCTACAGCACAGGACGGGCTGGAATTTGAAAAATTGAACTTTTTTAGAAAATTTTGTTAATTTTTAAGTTTTTTTTTTATTTTAAGCGTGCGCAAGCGGGGAACATAGAAAAAATACGAATGAAACACATAAAAAATAAAAAAAAATGAAAAAAAACACGTGTAACCCTGGAGGCCTCCAGAAATCAAAAAATTTTCAGAATGATTAAAAAAATCTTTTATCGATTTTTATTTAATTCATTATTTCCCGCAAAATTTTTCATAAAATCTATTATTTCAAAATGTAAACCAGTTGATTTTATTAACTTTTGTCACAATCAGGCCTAGAATTTTTATTTTTTGTAGCTTGATTTTCATTTTTTTAAAATTTTCTACAGATTTTTTAACGTTTTTTTTATTTTCAGTTTACTAAATGAATGAACAAATTGATTCTAGTTCCTCTAATATTCTTGGAGATGGAGATGTATTCGAAATAAACGATTTTACTGTCATCACAGATTTTGAGGTTTTTGTTTTATCACTTGAGAATGTTCTGCATGAATTGAAAAACGAAGTGGAAAATCAAAATAAGGTACTTTCCTGTTATGACGCAACAGTCAGTTTTTTCGTCAGTTTTTTCAAAAATTATGTAAAAATGGTCAGTCTAAACAACAATTGTAGAACACATCGAGCTTTGTCGAATGACACCAAAATCAACAAAATTCGACTTGATTTGACCGAAATACAGACCCCTAAACCACAGGGGCACAAAATCATAAAGACGAAAATCTATACAAATCATAACTCATTCGAAAGAGCTCGTCGAGCTGAGTCGAATGAGACCAGAATCAACCAAATCCGACTTGATTTGACAAAGTTATGACATAAGTCGTCGACTCCGGTAGGTCTAAATAATGTCATAACTTTGTCAAATCTCCTCAGAATTCGTTGATTTTGGTATCATTCGACTCAGCTCGATGGGTTCTACAATTATTGTTCAGACTGACCATTTTTACATAATTTTCGAAAAAACTGACGAAAAAACTGACTGTTGCGTCATAACAGGAAAGTACCCAAAATAATGTAAGGTTTAAATTTATTTTCGGAAATTTTTTTTATTTAGACACTAAGGGATGCTTCAAGTTCCAACATTCAAAAAATCGCTCACAAAGAAGTTGTTTATGAATCCTACAAGTTTAAAGTCGATTATTTTAAACAATCCAAATCTCTTCAAATTGACGGTTTTTTAATTTAAAATTTTTATTTAAGTCGATTTTAGAAGACATTGAAGTTATATCTGGTGCTGACGTCGATGAGGGATCCAATTACTTATGCAACAATTCCAAAGCTTTTCTTGATGATAATGGCAGTTTTCGTGAAAATTCGGTCATTTCGAGACAGGTATCAGCCTTTTTTTAAATTAAAATTATGTTTTTTAAAGTATGGCGTTGATTCCGATTTTATTTTGCTTTATATGAACGACAAAAAATATTTTACTGACAGTGTAATCAACATGGTTCAATCAGCTGTGACTGTTGCTACTGCAAATATTGATTTGTATAAATTTTTTTATAATGATTTATTTTAGGGTAGAACCCCGAGCCTTCGTGTCGGTGATTTGGGTTTTCCGGGATATAGCCTTCAGGGCCAGGTCGTTGTTTTTGCCAGAATATTGGGTAACGGGTCAAGGGGAAAAAATGTCTGGGACGAGGTGCTAGCCTATTTTTTATTCATTTTAGCGACCTTCCCATCCTTTTTCAATTCTATCCTGGTGCCTCAACTGGATCGATGCAGAACAAGAATTGCTGTACAACTTTTGAAGGTTGTATTCTCAACAAATGCTTAAGCAGGCACAAAACTTTGGATGGAGCTGTTGAAATGTTTAAACAAAAAATTGTATTTTTTTGCGTTTTTTTGAATTTTTCTAATTAAATTTAGGATTCCCCCCTTTGTCTTGATGATGAAATTAAGGTATTTTTTCTTATTTAAATAAATAAACATTTCAAAAATATTTCTAGATTGCCTTGCAATATGATTTTAAAAAGGATTTATCAAACGATGTTGACAATTTTCATAAAGGTTTATCCATGGATGCTGGGACAAATTGTCCGCACAAATTTACTCTTCAACGAATTGATCCTTCTTTAATCAGAGGATTTTGTCTTAGTGCTGTGTTTATTCAAAATTCTTTTACTGGTGATTCAACGGACGAATTTGAAATAGAAAATGCCAAATTTTGGAAAATTTCTTTTGATTTTGATGACGAATTTAGCTACGAACTTTGTTTGTTTTGGAATTTTTTTGCTCATTTACTTTATTATTTTTTAGCTTACACCCTTACGAGATTATTAGAACATAAGGAAGAAGAATATTCAACCCAAACAGTCAAATCTTTAATACCTCAATCAAATACAGAAACAAAATCTATGGCGGCAAGTGCTTTGGGTCCTTTACTCGATAAACCTGCTGTGAATTTTGAACTCGTCCCAAAATTGGACATTTTTGGTGACGACGATTTTAGCCATGTTTGTGTATTTTTTTATTTTTAAACTTTTAAATGTTTCAGGAAGGCTTGTCAGATTGTCTCAAATTTATTATGGAGGAGGGGAATGCTTTTGAATTTGGTGGGAATGACTCGAATAGAGATCAATTACTTGTATTATTTTATTTTTAAATTTTATCAGAAGAATCTTTTAGCGCAAGCTTTCCCTCGCCAAATCTGCCCCTCAAAATTCTCTAACTCGCCGACTATCAACTTGCTTGTTAACTCGAGTTGATAAAAATTTGGTTGGATTTTGCCGGTTATGGATGAAGTTTGTGGATATTTTGCGTCATTATTGGGAATATAATATGGATTTGCCTGGGTATTTTTACGTTTTTTTTATTTCAATTAAAGTAGTAACCCCCACCCTTTTGTCCCAGTTGTGAGGTGGAAATTTTATGGGTGTATTTCTCCCCACAACCATCTGTCCCATTTGAGAAGTAACTTTCCAATGTGTCCCGATTATAAGGTGCAAAATTTTATTGGTTGTATTTCCCCTACACTCAACTACCCCAATCTAGTAGTAATCCCCCTTTTGTATTGAGGGATGTGTCGGCAAATCAAAGGCCACCCTTTTGTCTCACCCTTTTGTCTCACTTAATTTTCCCGCACCACCCTTTTGTCCCAGTTGTGAAGTGTGACAATTTGTACGGGTATTTACCTTACCACCACCATGCCCCAATTGATAAGTAAATTTTTAACTTGTCTCAGCTGATAATTTTATTTGGTGAATTGTCCGACACCCAACTGTCCCAGTTGAGAATTAAGTTTCCAAGATGTCCCACAACATATCCCAGTTGTGAAGTAAAATATTTTATGGGTAAATTTCTCCCACACTCACCTACCCCAATTTAGTAGTAAACCCACCCCAAACGTTACAAACGTTACACCCCATTTGATCACCTGTCAATCAAACCTGAGGCTATAGGGGGTGTTTTTCCTTTGATCTTTGCCGCAAACCCTTTGTTTTTGGAAGGGTTTGAGGGTAATTAATCATGATTAATTAGGGTAATTAATCATTGATGATTAATTGCTTTTTGGTTGATTTTTTGTGGGAAGTGACAGGTTTGATGTTTGTGGTGTCTGGGTGGTCTGTTGCAACATTTGGAGGGTAAAAAAATTCAAAGCAATATTTGGAATTGCGGTAAAATACTAGAAGAGAGTCAGAAGGTTTTGGATGGGTGAAAATGCGGTAAAATCATAAAGAAACGAATTTTTTTGGTTTTTCAAGTATCTATTGGGCAGAGGTAAGGGAAATATTTACAGAAATGTTTTGATTGATTGAGAGAAGATTAGGTACAGTGATGAGTATAAGAGTGTGATTGATAAGTGATAGGGGTGGGAAGTTATAATTAAAATATGAAAAGGTTTAATGGGTGTATTTTTGTTTAATAATATAAGCCCTTTATAACATTTTAAAAAATAAAAACCCCGAGCGGAATCGAACCTTCACCGTCGTGTTTTTTCGTATGCGGGAACCTTATCCATTCGGCCATAGGGATGTATTTAAATTTAATAAAATAATGGGATAAATTATAAAAATTAATTTCTCTGTGTATTTTGGGGGATGGGGTGGAGGATTTTAAAAAGTTTAAAAATTTCGTAATTAAAATTTTAAAAAATTTAAAATTAAAATGTGAATTCTTGAAAATAATTAAAAAATTAAATTAAATTAAAATATAATAAAAATTATTACAAAAATTTGACAAAAATAAAACAATTTTAAAAAAAGGGCGGAAGTTCAAATGTAAGGGGATTTATTCAAAATGCCAAATTTCAAAATTTGGCGAGAATTCAAAATTTAAAAGTTGACGGGAATTCAAATTTCAAAATTTGGCGGGAATTCAAATTTTAAAAATAGGCGGGGATTTTTAAATTAAAAAATAAAAAATATTAAATTTAAATAAAATTTAAATAATTAATTAAATAAAAAAAATGTGGGAAGAAATAAAATTTTCAAAATTTTACAAAAATTTAAAATGTTTTAAAAAAATGGCGGAATTGCAAATATAAGGGGAATTAAGAAATTATTTTAAAATGTCAACTTTCAAAATGTCAAAACGACAAAATGCCAATTTCAAAATATCAAAAGACAAAATGCCAACTTTCAAATTGGCAAGTGACAAAATGCCAACTCTCATTTCGTCAAGTCTTTATTTGCCAAGTCTCAAAATGTCAACTTAGTAGTATTAATTATTTTAAATGTAAAAATGAAGTAAGCCTGTTTCCGACCACCAAATTTCCTGTACAAACAGAATAAAAGGAGGGCTCTATTGTATTGAAACTTAAATTTTTCAAAAAATTTCAAAAATTCTAAAAATCTGAACCGAATATATGGATATATTCGTTGTAAAGTTAAAAGTTGGAAAAAATTGACAAAAGTTAAGGATTAAAAGATGAAATTCATGTAAAGTTAGGAGATAGAAGATACATTTCATGTAAAGTTAAGCAACGGAAGATGTAGATTTTGGGGGTAAAAATGCAAAGTTAAGCGTTGGAAGACACAACTGTTGCAAATTTAAGAGTCAGAAGATACAATTCATGCAAAGTTAAGACAAAGAGAATGTAGATTTTGGGAATAAAATTGCAAAATTAAGCATACGAAGATACAATTAATGTAAAGTTAAGATTTAAAAGATATAAATCATGAAAAATATGTGATATTAAGAAGCAATGTTAAAATTTAGTTAAAGAACGAATATTCCCATTAAATGTGTGGGGATGAACATTTGGACAAATGTATACTGTAGTATATCTACAGTATATCTTGAAAATTGATTAGAATAAAATCTAAAATTGTAACAATTAATATCAAATTAACAATTTTAAAATTGATATAAATTACCATTATTAAAATAAAATATACATTTTTAAAAATTAATTAATTTTCTTAAATATAAATCTTTAAAAATTATTACACCTTCTTTGCTGCATAACTTTAAACAAGAGCTAACAACAAATTATAATATAAAATCATTGTATAGAATGTTAAAGTTTTTGATCATATTAATTAATGTACCATTCTTATTGGCTGAAGACTGGGACGCCAGACCATGGAAGCGAGAAGAATTAGTGAGTACATTATACCGGAGGACGCCTATACCAATATGGCGGAGAACACCGCCACCAATATTTGCTAGTAGGAATGAAAAAATTCAGGATAAATCAATGAATCAAACTGATGACGGGAAAAAATTCTCAATGAAATGGATTGTAAAGGATATCTATTACCTGAACAAGAAAGATTTAAACAGACAAGCAGAAATAAAAAATATGGGACGTTGGATTCTACGTTGGGACCTTTACGACAAAAAGTTCAAATTTGGAAAACATAATAGAACAGACTACTTGATGTATTCAAGATGGCGATTTTTATACGAACCTCCAATTTCAAATATTATAGATTTTTTCAAAAATTTGTAAACTTTTAACAAACAATATTTTATTGTAAATTATAATTATTTAATAAATATTTAAATAAAATAAAATTCTCTAATTAATTAATCATAATATTGCGTTTTTCCCATTGGTTAGGTTTACCTTCTATTTTGATCCACAATATTCCTGGTCTAGATTTCCCATTAGTGGGGGTTGATGGTAAGCTTCCGTCGGATATTGTAAGACTGTTGAGACTTATTGTTGAAGTTGACGAAGTTGCATGCGTACGTCGTGCTTTAAATGTTAACCCGCTTATTGTAGACGGAGGCGATGTAGGAGCAAAACATAAAAGTTCAAGAGGGTAGTATCTCTCGCAAACTCCATTCTCTGTACATGTTCTTTCAATTACACATTGATGAAATGGGTATTGAAGTTTTAATTTGTGATGAGCAAAGAAATATGCCGCAATCGATATATTAAATGGATAACTTAAATTGCCGAAAGCTTTGATTAAATGAGCTCCTGTTGTTGTAATACCATCACACCTAATTTTTCTTTTCATTCCATTCCTATCAAGATAATTTGTCTCTAGCTCTCCCTTTTCTTGTATAAATTTTGCGATCAAATCAGCATTTTCTTGATACATTAGTCTATATCTCACCAAATAACAAGGGCAATTTAATTTTTTAGAAATATCATCCAAAACAGAATTCATTTTTATTGATTAATTTTTAATGTATGTAAATGATCAAATGACTTTATAAACTTTTAAGATTATAGAAATTGCCCCTTTTTATACGAAAATATTTCTTTGAGAATTGGCAAATATTACGAAATCATTGGAAAAGGGGCGGGGTTTAAGCGAGTATATAAGACAATAAATTTCCCAACTCGCATTCATTTCTTCATTCATTTAAAGTAAAATTTGAAAATAAAATAAAAAATGAGCGGATTGAAAAAAGAAAAAATCCCAAAAATTGAGGAGAATGAGGAAGAGATAATTGAAGTAGAGTTAGAAAAGGACACTGAAATAATCAACAAAGCAAAATCCCCTAATTCGAAAATAAACTACGGAAAAATCGAGAAAAATAATAATAAGCTAAATCCGCGTGTACTGTGGAAAATTATGCGCATGAAAGATACACCAAGGATTGAAATAAGAGTTTGCAAAAAATGTGCAAATGCACTTTACAATGATAAGAATAAATTCACACAGAAGGAGAACGGAAATATTGGAATATGCTTTGAAATTTGTGAAAGCTGCGCGAAATTAAATATGCAATTCAAAGATTTTGTTGCTGACTGGGATGAGAAGAATGTAGAAAAGTTGAAAAAATGAGTAAAAATTTAAAAAATATTTTTTCTTAACATTGTTATTTTTTAATAATTATTTCAATAAATGTAATAATTTAATTTGAAATAAAAATTTTGAAATTTAATTTATTATTAGTTAACATAGGAAACTTTTAAACTTATAAAATTCAAATCACTTTTTTGAAAGCCACGCCCATTTTCAGTATGAATACTGAAATATTCCCCTGAATGTAATTTCCATTCAAAATTTGAATTCATTTATAAAAATCATTTAAAAAATGTCAGTAATTGAAAATAATGGCCAGCTCTTAGAAAAAGTGCTCCCTGAGGTTTTATTTGCGGTATCTTCTTATGGTGTGACAATTTCGTCACCTCGGCTCATAACAGCACGTTTTGTGGAGTTTGACTTGGCGGGAAAATGTAAAAGTTGTAAAGGAGAA